AGCTATTTTCCAAAGCACCTGAAGGCAGGACAAGAAACAACGGGTGGAAACTAATCAAGGAGAGAAGCAACCTAGAACTAGGGAGAAACTTCCTGACTGTGAGAACAATTAATCAATGGAACAGCCTGCCTCCAGAAGCAGTAAATGCTCCAAAACTGGAAGTTTTTAAGAAGAGACTGGACAGCCATTTGTCCAAAATGGTGTAGGGTTTCCTGCCTGAGCAGGGGGTTGGACTAGATGACCTCCAAGGTCCCTTCCAACTTTACTACTACTACTACTACTACTATTATTATCTCATTTAGCAACCATTCCCAGTTACAGTGATGATGCTAAAGTGACTTTTTGACCAGCCCTCACATTTGCAACCTTCACAGGTCTGTAAAGCAAGACTCAAGTAAGATCCTAACTTGTGAACCTTGTAACCTTTGAATTTTTAACCTGGTTATTTTTACTTGTAAGTTTTAACTTGTTTTTAACTCTTGTTAAAACTGTTCAATCTATAATTTTATTCACGTACTTATCTGGTTGCATTCTGCTGTTATAAAAGTGACTTAGGTGAGATGGGCTGTATAGAAATTTAATAAATAAATAAGCACAGGTGTGGTTTCACTTAGTGACCGCTTCACTTAACAACAAAGTTACCAGTCTCAATTGTGTTCGCTAAATGAGGACTATCTGTTGAACTTGGTCGTCCAACTTTTTGGCTTGCCTGGACCACAATGAGTGAAAAGGAATTGTCTTGGATCGCATATAAAATGTATATTGTAGTTATTTTGTGTATGTATATGTATGTATATATGTGTGCATGTGTGTGTGTGTGTGTGTGTGTGTGTGTGTGTGTGTGTATCAAACTTCCTTTATTTTTTATTATTTTGTGGGGTCACATTACTAGCATGCTGTTAGACATACCTGCTGTAGATGGTTTTCTTTTATATTTCACTGTGTGGACAAATAAAAATATAGGTAATCCTCGACTTACGACCACAACTGAGTCCAAAATATATGTTGCTAAGTGAGACATTTGTTAAGTGAGTTTTGCCCCATTTTACTACTTTTTTTGCCCAGTTATTAAGTGAATCATTACAAGTGTTAAGATAGCCACATGGTTGAAAAGTGAATCTGGCTTCCCCATTGAATTTCCTTGTCAAAAGGTCGCAGAAGGAGACCCAGGGGACACTGCAACCGTCATAAATACGAACCAGTTGCCAAGCATCCGAATTTTTGTAACCATACGAATGCTGCAATGGTGGTAAGTATGCAAAATGGTCATAACTCGCTTTTTTCATTGCTGTTGCAATTTTGAATGGTCACTAAACAAACAGTTGTTAAGTCGAGGATTACCTGTAATATAAACAGACAACATTAGGCCTGTGCCTCTGTACAGGTCATCAGCACCTCCATTCTCAGGCTGGAGAAATCTATAAAATTGCAGGACGCTGTGTCAGTGTGCAAGTTCTGTCAGAGACACGGCAGGGTCCAAAGGGCGGCTGAGTTGTCCACTCCAATCCATCTATGCAATATCCAGCTGAGTTAAGCCGGTTGTTCGAAAATTGGCAACTCGTGGTCACACAGGCTGCTCGTGTCAGCCCCAAATATTTAGCTACCCAAAACAAAATTTAAGATGGCGGTCCCTCCCCAGAGGGAAGGGTACAGAAGCTGGAATGGGCTGGCAGCTGATCCCTTCTTTGAAGAGGGGGAGGGATAGTGTTCCTCCCTGGAACTAAAATAAAGCCTTGCTGATCAGCACTGAGCTGATGGATTGAGTGAGCTTGTGGACTAGAAACTTGGAATGTTGGATTATGGGCTACTCTGGACTACCAAGATTCTCCTCCCAGAATGTTTCCTTCTATGGAAAAATTCAAGGGGAATTCAAGGGGATGGAAAATTGAAGGGAACTGTGGAATTAAATTTGTTAATGGGGCTTTTTAAGCATGCTGGCTGGGGAATTCTGGGAGTTGAAGTCCACACATCTTCAAATTGCTAAGGCTGAGATTCAATGCATTAATGCAAGCTCAGGCACTCATCCAGATGAGGATTTAATACAGGGATAGCATTTTTATACGGCTACTTCAAAAGTGCTCTTTTTTTCTTTCCTTTTGTTTTAAAGAAGGGGAGGTTATCATATCTTTTAAGGCAGGGGTGTCAAAGTGCTGGCCCGCAGGCCGGATGCGTCATGCCGAAACCGCACCCACCCCATTGCTGGCAATGGAAAAAAAGTTGCGTTACGTCACATGAAGTTGCGAGTTTGACACTCGTTTTAAGGATTGCAGCGAATGACTTCATCACCTCCAAAGTTTTAGGTCCTAATTTTGCTCCTGAAAGCCTCCAATAATAAACCACCATAAACATAGCAACCTTTTGGCCACACCTACTGTGGGGCAGCCCAGGGGGGCAAGAAAGGGTTGCATTTGTGTTGCATGATGTCATTCCTAGGCGGTATTTTTTATTTTTTTATTTCTGTATCCCCAGCCTGGGTGCCACGCAAACATATCCTGTGGGTAGAAATGAAAGCATTTTGGGAAGAGACACGCTGCCTTTTCAACCTTAGAAATGCCCTCAGTGTCAAGCTGTAGATAATAATATAAAATTGGAGCTATCGCTGCCTTGCCTTCCTTTGGAATTGCTCTACACCCCCAATGGGCAAATTGCCACAGCATAGATTGGCTGGCAGACCCCAGAATGTATTTTTAGGCACAATCATTAACAATTCCCCTATTTCTTGCCAACGGAGGCCAGGATCCCTGGCAAGCCTGCTTGAAAAGAAGCAGTGAAACTAAAGATCAAATGGATCGTCCTCGTCTACAATGGCGTTTCGTTAATAACTACATATTGCTCAACTTTCAATTCAAACCCTGCCACTGAATCCTGGGTGTTCCTGGGAGTTGATCCCTGGATTTGAACTAGACTCTTGCTCTATGGTCAAGGATGCTGAACCACAAGGCCCTCCCTATTCACCAGGGCAGTGCACAGCTATCCCGTAGAAAACAGTTATTCACTTAACATCTGTCCAGTTTAACCCTGAGAGTGCCTGGAAAGAGCAGTCCAAGGTACCTTCTTGTGACCTGACCATTAGTGATCCCTCTACCAAACCACCTGGTTTTGACCTGCTTCCCTCCGTCTGGCCAAAACTGAACACAGTTAGGTGTGATACTTCAAATACTTTGGCCACCTAATGAGAAGGAAGGACTCACTGGAGAAGAGCCTAATGCTGGGAAAGATTGAGGGCAATAGAAGAAGGGGACGACAGAGAATGAGGTGGTTGGATGGAGTCACTGAAGCAGTAGGCGTGAGCTTCAATGGACTCCAGAAGATGGTAGAGGACAGGAAGGCCTGGAGGAACGTTGTCCATGGGGTCGCAATGGGTCGGACACGACTTCGCAACCAACAACTACAGGTGTGATACTGGAAGAAGGGTCTCTGCTCTGCCTCAGTGGGGATGGAAAGATTCGCCTTGTTGCGACTGTGATGCTGATACGTTAAACTATTAAACACTTGGAATACTGCATCCAGTTTTGGTCACTGCGATGTAAAAAAGATGTTGAGACTCTAGAACAGTGGTTCTCAACCTTTTTAATGCCGCAACCCCAACTGGTCGTAAGTCGAGGACTACTCAACCGGTCGTAAGTCGAGGACTACTCAACTGGTGCAGCACCGTTTGCAGAATGGGACTTTTGGCGGGCTCAGCAGGGCAGAGACAGCCTGGACAATTCCTATTGGCTTTGGAAAGCCAATAGAATTAGACTTTATTCAAGAGAGTCTATTCTATTGGCTTTCAAAAGCCAATAGAATAAAAGGGGGTAGCACAGCTAAGGAAAAGGGGGGGGGGAAATGGCGGACTGCGTTATTTGGCAACCCCCGTGAAATGGTCGTTCAACCCCAAATGGGGTCCCGACCCACAGGTTGAGAACCACTGCTCTAGAAAGAGTACAGAGAAGAGCAACAAAGATGATTAGGGGACTGGAGGCTAAAGCATATAAGGAATATTTGCTGGAATTGGGTATGTCTAGTTTAATGAAGAGAAGGATGAGGGGGGACAGGATAGCAGTCTTCCAATATCTCAGGGGCTGCCACAAAGAAGAGGGAGTCAAGCTATTTTCCAAAGCGCCTGAAGGCAGGACAAGAAGCAACGGAGATCAAGGAGAGAAGCAACCTAGAACTAAGGAGAAACTTCCTGACAGTTAGAACAATTTGCGCTGTGACTTTTTGATGGGCAGTTTGTGAGTCACAGCAAGGGAGAGGCAGTTGGAGAACATTATCAGATTGAGGGAGACACAAATCTGGAGATTTTAAAGGAGGTTCAGCCTGCTGAAAATTCAAAATTTAGGGGTTTCCCCCTCCCCAGTGGTGGTTTTAAATAGGATCATCAGGATCACTTATACCAGAAGGAAAGAAGGCACTGGGACAAAATGGGCAGTCAAAATTGTAGCTATGTCAAGCAGGGCCCTATTATTATGATTGTTATTGTTACTATTCTTATGCAAAACATCTTTCCCTAATGGCATTAAATTTTAAACTATCTCATTTAACACACACACCATTAAACTCCTTGCCTTTAAACACACTACTTTACATTTTAAAGCACAGAAATACAGTAAAACAAAACAGCAGCTTTAAATCAGGGTAAAATTGGAATTAAAGCTGTTGAAAGCTACTAACTAAAATGATCAAAAGTCAGGAGTTTTTTCAGGCTTATTTAGAAAACAGTCCACCCCTACAGGGAGGGTGTGCCTTTGCCAACAACCTAACATGGCCATGACAGGGCACTATCGAGGGCACTGATGGCTCCACATGGTTTCCACCTTTGCAAATTCTCTTTTGCTCTTTATCCTGTGTTCCCTTCCCACAATTCAACTTGTGACAGTCACCCAGGTGTGTCAAACCTTTAAAGCCCTTCTTTCTGATCCCCAGAAGTCGTGGGTCAGGGGGAAAGGGTCAGGGGAGGGGAAAAAAAATCCCGGGTCAAATCCGTGTTCTTCTTGCCTCGTTCACACGGTACGTACCTCTGCAAGGCGGCTATGGTGTTCAAAAGATAGAATAACGGGAAGGCGGAAAGGAACAGGCCGACGGCGGCCCAAAGTGGATGCAGCCGCATGTTCAGCGGCATGGAGAGCAGACCTGGAAGAAGAGGGTCGTGGGAATGGGCGACCAGCGGGCGATCGCTCCAGCAGAAAAGGGGCAATCGGCCAAGCGACGGGTTCCCGGTAGTAACACAAAGCTCCCCGCCGCTCATGCGTTCCTCTCGCCCAAAAAGAAAGGGGAAAAAAAGAGGGAGAGGATTTTTTTTTTTCCTATCCAAAGGTCGTGACTGTTGGCAGCTTTCTTGCTCAAGCGATCCCAGGAAAAGCGCGAGGAGAGCGGCGCACCTCTTAAAAGGGCAAGGCACACCTTTGTTGGTTCTTCCGCCCCCATCCCACCCCGCCACCCCACCATCCCGTTGACCATCGTGGATTTGGCCTTCCTGCAAACCGGCTTGGAAAGCGCAGGGAACTCTTTAAAAAACGGGGGAGGGGGAGGATTTCGCGCGTTCTCCCGGGGTTGGTTTGAACAGCAGGAGACGCTCCAGATGATGCCTTGCCAATAGGGTCAATTACCAGCAGAAACGCGCTTTGCCAAGTGTGGCTCAACCTCTGGCTGGCATAACACAGCCCTAGCAGCGGGCCTCCCCACTCCCCAGAGCTAAGATTTGCGTAATTAGCTGCAAAGTCCAAAACAAACATGCCTGTGTGGCTTCACGTGGTCAAAAATGTCCTTCTGTCATTAAGACGTTTCGAATTCAAGCGTTCAGCAAGTCAGGCTTGCAAGCCGGGGTTAAGAATGAGGCATAGAGCCTTAGTGGCAAGACAGCCCTAGAGGTCATCCAGTCCAACCCCCTGGTCCAGAGGTAGGCAACCTTGGCTCTTTTATGACTCGTGGACTTCAACTCCCAGAATTCCTGAGCCAGCCATGCTGAGCGGAAAGGGAGAGGTTTCCAAGCTGAGCCATGCTGACACAGGAATTCTGGGAGTTGAAGTCCACGAGTCATAAAAGAGCCAAGGTTGCCTACCCCTGCCCTAGTCACTGCTGGATTTGCTACAGCATCTCTGGTAGAAGACCCACATTTAGGAACAACCTGTCTTCTTTTTCAGGGTCATCACCAGGTGTATATTTGCTCTGCTGCTGTGCTTACTGGCAGGGATTGTTGATAGGGTTGCAGCTGTAAATCAGGCCTGTGTTAAAAATACTTAACTGAAAAAGGGGAGCTGGCAGAGCTTTGCCTATTAATCCATCATTTCCAGTACAAACTTCCCGTTTCAGCTTTGTTGTGTTGGCAGATTGCTTTTAAAGCAGTGGTTCTCAACCTGTGGGTCGGGACCCCATTTGGGGTCGAACGACCGTTTCACGGGGGTTGCCAAACAAGGCTGTCCGCCATTTTTTTCCCTTTTCTTTGGCCATGCCCCTGCCACCCGGTGATGTATAAGTGGTTGGGGGTCACCACAACATGGAGAACTGTATTATGGGGTCACGGCATTAGAAAGGTTGAGAACCACTGTTTTAAAGGTATTGCAAAAAAAAAAAAAGCCAGAAGACAGGATGGGTTGCAAATCAATTTTTAAAAAAGGAAAACCTGCATGGTTATAAGCTGGTTAGCTTTAGATTATCCTATAATGCTTTTCTGACTCTGAATTTAGAACAGCGATTCTAAATTTCTCCAAGGGAGAAATCTGGGCACATCCTGGGGATAATGGAGCAATTTGTAATTGCTTATTTGCGAGGTGAGGATCCATTTTGGGATTGCTGTGGCTGAGACTCTTGCGTAAAACTAGTCTTTTTTTTTTAAATGGGCATATTATTATTTGAGGAAAAGACATAATTGGCTCCCACAATTTAAGAGCCAGTGTTTTACAGAATACATTTTAAGGCCTTGCATCTGTTATCTCATCCCAAATCAGTAATGCTGATTTTCCTCATCAACTGTTTTGTTAATTGTTTTTATGTTGTATGATGATGAGCAGAGTCATTTTGAATTGGACAGACTTACAAATCCAGTGCATGGAATTAAAATAAAATAAACTCTTTTTGACTTATGTTTCCAAATAGTCCTCGACTTACGATCACAATTGGGACAATTTTCATTGCTAAGTAAAGTGCGCCTGATTTTACGACCTTTTTTTGCCAGTGTTTAAGCGTAATTCCGTTAAGTGACCGCCCGCATTGACTTTGCTTGTCAGAAGTCAGCTGGGAAGGTCACAAATGGTGATCACATGACCCCGGGACTCTGGAATCATATAAATACATGCTGGTTGCTAAGTGCTTGGATTTTTATCATGTGACCATTGGGGATGCTGCAATGATCGTGTGAAAAACTGTCATAAGTCACTTTTTTCAGTGCCGTTGTAATTTCAAATGGTCGCTAAGTAAATGTTGTTAAGTCAAGAACTGCCTGTATAGAAAGCTGCTTTCAGACCAACCATTGGTTCTGCTTAGTATTTTCTACACCAATAAATATAAAGCATAAATACAATGGTCTTGCCTTTTCCTGCCCCAGAAAACGTGAAAACTGCTATCAAAAAATAAGAAGAGATGAAAATTAAATCCAGTGGGATGCTCATGTGCTTATAAGAAGCTGGTTTTCCCACATCTAAAAAAATATTATGAATGTAATCGTTATTTTTTTTAAAAAAATTCTTCATCTTGCAAGGGTACAGAGAATTTTGTTCTGGTTAGCAATTGGGACGTTTGTCAAGAGCAGAATAGCTTAAATTCCCCTCGAGGATTTTAGATAATTTCTATAAAGAACAGCAGTCTCAAGGAGAGAAGAAAAATATAATTTGAATCCTGAGGGATGCTTGTATTTGTATAGTCACATTTTGATAACGGGATTGTGGAACATCAAGTAATCAAAGACAAAACAATGGATTTTTTGAGAGAGAGGTTAATTATTTTCTTGAGGAGGGAGTAAGGGTAACAAGGGGGAGGGGCTTATGGGTTTTTACATCTTGAAATTTAAAAGTTGTAGGTGGCCTGAAGTCATTCTGATTTAGGCAGCCATATAAATTTGTTTAATAAATGCACAAACAGCTGAATATGCACCATTGAAAGATGAACAAGTAACGGATAGGGAGACGGATGACACCAGCAGGATAATGCTGATGTCCTTATGATCTTTCTTAGTGGTCATGTACCACCTCTACCAGGGCCGCAAGTATGTGTGTGACTCAAATGGGGCAGGGCTAGCGCTTGCGTGATACTCGCTAGTCCTGCCCCGTTCTTGTACACAGCGCCCTCTTTCTGTGCCGAGGCATGGCGTCAGACTCTTCGCGCACCAAAACGCAGCAGCATCCCATTTTTGCGCCATGAGGTGCACCGTTGGCTCGTTTTCACGCTGGATCCTCCCAGCAACCAAGAAGAAATTATTGTCCCATCCATCTGTTTTTCCAAGTGACAAAAGCTACGAGATTGTACAGGTCGTCCTCGACTTACAACCATTCATTTAATGACTGTTAAACTTTACAAACGCCTCTGAAAAAAAAAGAGTGTCTTATGACTATGCCTCACATGTATGACCATCAGTGATGTGATTAAAATCTGGATGCTTGGCAACCAACAGGCATTTATGACGGGTGCAGCATCCCGGGATCATGTGATCACCATTTGTGACTTTCCCAGCCAGCTTTTGACAAGCCAAGTCAATAGGGGAAGCCAGATTCATTTAACAACCATGAGATTCCCTTAACAACTACAGTTCTACACTTAGCAACCGTGACAAAAAAAGTCGTGAAATTGGGCACAACTCACTTAACGGCTGCCTTGCCTAGCAATGGAAATTTTGGTCGTAAGTCTATCTGTACTTGCACTGTGGCATACTTGGAAGTATGTCTAGGATCTGGCACCAAGGTTTTCTTGTGTGCATCCCCTCCCAACCTCGGCAGATAAGAAAGTCAATATTTTCCAAACACGCAGTATCGAGAGTCATGTACACACCCATCAATCATGCTTGGAGTTTTGAAAAACTCAGCTCACTGTCAGGACATTCAAAAGAAAAAAAAAACCCGACCTTCTTCACATTTCTCTAGCTTTATTAACATGTTTGGCAAAAGCCCAACTTATCAACTCTACGTCATTAAGATTGAACGAAAATGAAAATAAGCATGGTTTCAGAGCCTATCTGAAGGAACCACCGTCGTTCTGATGTTGGAAGGTCGTGGAAGAGAGAGGGAGGGTTGCCTTGATGGACAGGGCATGTATTTGTGTCAAGAAAAAAAGATTTTGGGTTTTCCCCTTCTCTTAACCTTTCTCCTTTGGGACAGATTTATTAGACTCTACTAAGGAAAACCCTGCTAAAGATATGTTTGGTTTTGGCCTCTGATCTGGTCAAAGAAGCAACTCAAACTTCCTCGCTCTTTGAAGTAACTAAAGAGTGAGAAAAAAGGAGAGCTGATTGTCCTTTAAAACCGAAGGCTGGCCGATACACGCTGGCTATGCACGTTTTCACAAGATTCCCTCAGAACTGGGATAAAAGTGACGCCCTCAAGGAGACCCAATACTCTGTGGTGGTTTGTTCCCCCCATTTGTCCCCCCTTTTCTACGTTGCTGCAATTCAAATCTTGCTCTTTTGAACTGCAGCTGGGATCCCCCCCACTATGTTTGGGGAGCTCTACCTTCCTTATTTCTGCCTGTGCTTCTGCTCACCTGCTATATCCCATCCTGTTATCCTCCCCTGCAGGCCCCACCATCAACAGGGAACAGCAATCCAGACTTTCTATGTTCACGGAGAGAGGGCTTAAAAAAAAAAAACCCACAAAACTGAGTAAAATGAAGATTACGCACCATTTAACAAACATATTTACGCCAATTTTCCCCTTCTCACAAATGGTTGGGTTATGTATGACTTGGGAGCATTTGCTGACCATCTCAGTTCTGACCTGCTCCTTCATTTTCTTTAATGGGATCACATAAAAAGAAAAACATCTGTGGGTGGGTAAACAGATGGGAGGCTAAAGCTGAAACAGTCCTTCTAAATGAAAGAAAGGGGCTTTGTTTTTTAAATAAAATTATCACAGTAAACAATCCGTCACTGGAGGAACAGGGAGTGGGTGGGAGGTGAGACGAAAACACACGGCTGCATCAATAATAAGGACGCCGAGGGTTGTTCTGGAAGAGAAAAGGAGAAAAACAAGTCATCCTGGTAACAGAAGGTCAGCAGAGTCTGAGGCTCAAACCCAAATGCCTTACCTTGAAGTGATCATCACATTGTTTGACATCACTGATGAAACAACCTACATCCTAGTGCAGGGGTAGGCAAACTTGGCTCTTTTATGACTCATGAACTTCAACTCCTAGAATTCCTGAGCCAGCCATGCTGGGGGGAAAGGGAGAGTTTCCAAGCTGAGCCATGCTGGCTCAGGAATTCTGGGAGTTGATGTCCACGAGTCATAAAAGAGCCCAGGTTGCCTACCCCTGTCCTAGTGCCATGTGTGGATACGGCCATCCTAAGTTTGAACTCAAGTGAGAAGCAAAACCAGAGTAGGCCGACGTTCTACCTCCAAGGGGACCTGGTCCACCCACTTCCCCCGAGTAAACAGGCCTTCTCAATTGCAAAACTGCATGGTACCTTCCACAAGTGCAGTTGCTTGCGAAATCAGCGATGCTGCAAATCACCCACTTGGTGGCCAAACTAACTTAATCCAGGAGGGAATCCGGACTCTTATCTTAAATTCTGGAGGCATTCCTCTCATCGCCCTGTCCCTGAAAAGGTGCCCCAAAGTCCAAGGAGTATCCCAACCTATCTATCCTATTCCTCTAGGCTAGACTGAGCACACAAGGTGTGGAATTTCATCTCAAAGGCAGACATCTGAGAAAGAAGGGCCACCTCCTTGATGCGGGATAGGGCACTGTATCTCATCTACTTGAATTTCCACTGGGAAGAAGAGGTAATAGAACAAGCAACATGCTTGCAAGTCCTTGACTTACAACCATTCGTTTAAAGTTACAACAGAGCTGGAAAAAGTGACTTATGACGAGTCGTTCCACTTACGACCATCGCAGCATTCCCCAGAGTCACATGATCAACATTCAGGCCCTCGGCAACCAGCATGTATTTATGTGGGCTGCAGCGTCCCAGGGTTATGGGATCACCTTCTGCGACCTCCCCAGCGGGCTTCTGACCAGCAATCAATGGGGAAACGTGGGCTTGCTTAATGACCGTGTGATTTGCTTAATAACTGCAGTCATTCTCTTAGCAATCACAGCAAAAAAGATAGTTAACATTGTTGCACAACTCAATTAACACCCATCTTGCTTAGTAACAGAAATTCTGGTCCAGTTGTCAATATGCCGAGGGCTACCTGCACAAGTAGTCTCGACTTACAACTACAACTGAGCCCCAACACTTGTGTTGCTGAGCAAGACAGTTGTTAAGTGAGTTCTTCCCCGTTTTACAACCTGTCTTGCCAGAACTGTCGAGTGAATCACTTCGTTAAGTCAGTAATGTGGTTCTTAAGTGAATCTGGCTTCCCCGTTGACTTTGTTTGCCAGAAGATCACAAATGTGATCACACCCGACCCCTGAGATGCTGCAACCGTCCTAAGTACATGCCAGTTGCCAAGCGTCTGAATTTTGAGCCTAGGACCGTGACGATGCTACAATAGTCATGTGAAAAGCGGCCACTCTTTTTTCAGTGTCGTTGCAACTTCGGTCGTTAAACGAATGGTTGTAGGTCGGGGAGTACCTGGAGTCAAGGTTCACCTCAAGAACGAAGAGCAGCAGCAGCAGCCGGTGCACAAACCTGCTACTTTTCGGTGTTACATTTATAACTGTGGTTTGCATGTTCTGTAACACTGTTCTCAACTGCTATTTTTACCGTCCGCATCGTTAACAGGGACTTAACGTTGCGTTATGTATGCAAGATTAAATAGAGGCTGAGCTATAAAGAGAGAAAATGGCTGCATGTAGTTTTGAAGGTTTGGGTCTGAAGGATTTCTCGAATGAGATTTAAATAGGCTAGCAACGCATTGTGTGAGAACAGAATGGAGTCTCTGGGGGAAAAAAAAAACTTGTGCCAGCTGGCTGGCACCATAAGGGGAAGCCCTCTTCTCTGCAACAGATCAGTACACATCCACTAGCTCAGGAGTAGGCAACCTTGGCTCTTTTCTGACTCGTGGACTTCAACTCCCAGAATTCCTGAGTCAGCCATGCTGAGGGAAAAGGGAGAGGTTTCCAAGGTGAGCCATGCTGGCTCAGGAATTCTGGGAGTTGAAGTCCACGAGTCAAAAAAGAGCCAAGGTTGCCTACCCCTGCACTAGTTGGATCCCCTTCCTAAACATTCTTACATGAATTCCTTGTGCAGAGTAAATGGATACAGCATTTTAAGTGATTCACCTTGCCTTTGTGTATTGTAAAATATTCCTTAGGATAAAGTGCTGCAAAGTGTTTTGAAGCAAAAACAGAATATAGTCAATCAGTTACAGTGAAACAAGCAGCCTGTTTAAATAGTCCCTTCAATAATTTTTTTTTTTTTTTGTAGTCAAGGCAACTCAGACCAGGAAATTCCAATGAAAATAAGACAGTCCTGGCATTTTCAGAGTGCGTCAAGAAATTAAAAGTACATCCTTGTCCCTTTGCCTGCTCTGGTGGGGCAGTGGTTAGAATGCAGCATTGCAGGCAAACTCTGCCCGCAGTCTGGAGTTCGATTCTGACTGGCTCGAAGTTGACTCAGCCTTCCATCCATCAGAAGTCGGTAAAATGAGAACCCAGATTGTTGGGGGGGGGGGCAATAGGTTGACATTATAAAACTACCCAGAGAGGGCTGTAAAGCATGATCGTGCACCATGTAAGTATAAACGCTATTATTAATGCTAAACACTATTATTAATGCTCAAATTTATCCTACTTCATATATAAATCAATTGCATCAATTGCATTTCTGACATAGGGAAAAGGGCCCCAAGGGGTGGGGCTTCTCACCAGTGGGTTGGGCCGGAATCTGTAGGCCAACATCATCCTCTTCCGAAAGGCCTCGTACTCATCATCATTCTTGCTCAAATCAGCAGGACGGTCGATTCCAAACCCGGCTCCATCCACAGCTGTCACCCCCCTGGTTGGGAAAAAGCTGTGTTTATTTCTGGGGCACGGATATGAGGAAGCTGCCTTAGACCAGACCTTTTAAGACAGGGTGGATTAAAATCATAGATTCACAGGACTGGAAGGAAATTTGCAGATCCTCTAGTCCAGGGGTAGGCAACCTTGGCTCTTTTATGACTCGTGGACTTCAACTCCCAGAATTCCTGACCTAGCATGACTCAGCTTGGAAATCTTTTCCTTTCCCCTCAGCAAGGCTGGCTCAGGAATTCTGGGAGCTGAAGTCCATGAGTCATAAAAGAGGCAAGGTTGCCTACCCCTGTTCTAGTCCAAGCTAGGGGTCCTTGTACCTTATTACAGACAGTCCTTGACTTACGACAACTGAGCCCCAAATTTCCTTTGCTAATAGCAAGACTGTTGTTTAGTAAGTTTCCCCCCAGTTTATGACCTTCCTTGCTACAGTTGTTAAGTGAATCACTGCAGCTGTTCAGTTAGTAACACAGCTGTTAAGTGAATCTGGCTTCCCCGCTAACTTTGCTTGTCAGTAAATGACAAAAGGGTGATCGTGTGACCCCGGGATGCTGCAACCGTCATAAATATGAGTCGGTTGCTAAGCGCCTGAATTTTGATCGCGTGACCCTGGCGATGTTGCTTTGGTCATTAAGTGTGAAGAATGGTCATAAGTCAGTTTCTTCAATGCTGTTGTAACTTTGAATGGTCACTAAATGAACCATTGTAAGTTGAGGATTCGGGGACTTGCCCTTGGAGCTGAAGTAGGAGCCCCATAACCTTCAAAATGAAGGATGAGAGCCGGAGGGGCTATACTGGAGTGGTGAAGGTGCTGGACTGGCACCAGGGCAGGGTTCCTCAGCCATGGAAGCTCACTGGATGACTTTGGGCCTTTCTTTGTTTCACCACCCAAGTACCTCACAGGATTATTGTGAGGAAAAATAGAAGGTGGAACTATGTACATACCACCCTAAGCAATTTTATGAAATGTGAGGTAAAAATCCAACAAAATATGGGTAGTCCTCGACTTACAACAGGTCTCTTAGCAATCATTTGAAGTTGTGACAGACTGTGCAGGGTTACTTACAACCTACACTTGATGCTTTGATGGCTGGACCCTGTTGTATTTTGGGTGCTTGGCAAACAGACCACAGTTATGGTCCTTTGCAGTATCACCATGTCGTGTGACTACAATCTATGATAATTTTTTGGCCAGGAAAAACTTCTGTTTCTGGCAAAAAAAAAAAAAAAAACAGATTTACTTAATGACTACAGTGCTTAATTAATAACCATGGTGATTCATCTAACAACTACTGCAAAAAAAAACCTTCTAAAATTCTATGTGAACCTGTGGTGACCCACTTAATGACAGGCATGACTTACGACCATTGTTCTGGGCTCGATTATGGCTGTAAGTCAAGGACTAGCTGCAAATACACTTAATTTTTTTTTCCTACACTGGGACACCTTGCTACCAAGCCAAAACGTATGACTGCCATCCCAATCGTGATCCAGTCTCCCCTCCTCCCTTAAAAAAAAAAGAACATTTATAGTGACTCTGGTGTGAGAAGTGGGTTAGCAGGTTACCCCTTCCAAGCAGGTCATCTGAATGACCACTGAGATAGGCCAACTCATGACCGTGGACCTGGCCCATGTGACGCCACCCCTGACTCCTTCCTGTCTGTTCACAGAAGGAAGCAAACATTCCTCCCTGAGACAATGGCACCCACATGAATACAGGGGAAGAAGAAAAAAAAAAAAGATGCTTGTTTTTGTCTCCCCTCTGCAGCTTCTCCTCTCCTTACCATGTGCTGAAATGTCCCTGATTCTCAGCTGTCGACAATCAAACATCTGAAAAGCAAACTAGTCTAAAATTGCCAAACCTGGGCCTTGAACTGCTAAGCCAATATGCCATATTAGAAAGCACATGCTGGTGACGTTACATAAAAAGTAGACTTTATTCTATCAGTTTTGTAACTGTTTTCTTCCTACACTGATGTTCTAAATACTTTTTTTTTTAATCTTAAGTTTTCTAGCTTGTTCGCTGCTCTGTGTGTGTCTGAGCAGAGGAAAAGGGACTTTTTTTTTTCCAAATCAAGAAATAACAAAAGAGGGATCAGACACCTACTTGTTAACAGGAGCTTTGATACCCTGACCATCAGATCCCAGACCATCACCTTCCTTCCAGCCCATTTTCATCAGCATCTGGTAACCTATGTTTTCCACAGTCAGTTTAAATTCTTTATATTCAGAGTAATCAGGCTCACGGCCTTCCTGTGGAGGAAGAAAAGAATAGTTTAAAAAGAAATCATGCAGGAGAATCTGCTTCAAAGCCATTGTTTCTCAACTGTGACAATTTAAAAAGAGGTGGACTTCAATTCCCAGAATTCTCCAGCCAGCAAAGAATTCTGGGAGTTGAAGTCCGCACCTCTTCTAGTTGTCAAGGTTGAGAAACACAGTTCTGAGCTGTCACTGTGGCTGACAAGTGATGTATCCTCCACAACCTTTTTCAGTTCCCTTTCAAGGGTCCATGCCATCTGTCTGAAGGCAGTGAGCCTCACAACAGTGTGAGTAATGCTTCCTTGAGTGGGTCTTCCAGATATTGGGGTTTTTTGCACAATCCTTCAGTTGAAGTACTATTAAGGCAGGAGTATAAAAGAGTATTCTCGAGAGAATAATTTTATATAGCTATTTCCAGACTGCAAAGTTCTGAACAGTTTAGGATTTCTCTAGAGAGGTGGTGCCTGATTACTTTTGGTTAGCTTTCTTTGCTCTTTTTCCAGTTTTGCAGCAGTGCTTTCTGGTGTGAACACACACAACCACGAGGTAGAAAGCATTCTGAATCTGAAACATTTCTAAGTTTTAAGGGGCGCCTTTGAGGTTTAAATGCTGATCCAACTACACTGCCAATATTTTCCATTTCAACTGGTATTCTTTTGAGTCGAATGTCAACCCTTTTGGAGCAAACCACCTTTTTTCAGTTTGAAATGTTTTGCCTATTGCAGTGATGGCGAACCTTTTAGAGACTGAGTGCCCAAACTGCAACCCAAAACCCACTTATGCATCGTCGAGTGCCGGCTGGGTGTGGCCCATTGGGTGGGTGTGGCCCATTGGGTGGGCGTGGCTGCGGTGGTAACAGCAGACTGGGTGGGACTAAAAAGTTCAACCAATCAATTCCAACTTTGCAAGATCTTTTTCTTCCCGCAAGAAGTTGAAATTGACTGATTGAATCCCCCCATTTTTTTTTGCACATGGCAGTGGAGGCCTAAAGCGAAAAAATTTTATAAAACCCAGCTGAAGGCCTAGGACTGGGGCGATGGCACGCGTGCCCACAGAGAGGGCTCTGAGTGCCGCCTCTGGCACCCATGCCATAGGTTTGCCACCACTGGCCTATTGCATGTATCTAATGTAGGGGTCTTCAAACTTGGCCCCTTGATGACTTGTGGACTTCAACTCCCAGAATTCCTCAGCCAGGCACGCGTGCCTGGCTGAGGAATTCTGGGAGTTGAAGTCCACAAGTCATCAAGGGGCCAAGTTTGAAGACCCCTCACCTAATGTATTGCCCAATTTTGTTTCAATCAGGAAGACAGATCCTCTTCCTCCCCCTTCCCAAACCTCCTCCAAAAACATCCAATCACTCTGCGTATGTATAAGATGTCCTAAAGAGAAGGATGCTAAACATTTTACCTTCAGAGCTTTGAAGGTTTCCATAAACTTCTCAAGCTCATCCGGTGGCAGAAAGTCGCCAATGAAATGTTTTCCTCGGCCCATTTGAGTCAGCTGCTCCGCCCATTCTGAAAAAGACCAGGCAGAAAGAGAATTACTTCTCAGCAAGATATTGTCTGAAGAACATACAAAATAGTCCTTGACTTACAACCATTTGTTCGGTGAACGCTCAAAGTTACAACGGCACCGGAAAAAGGGAGTTACGACCGGGCTTCACGCTGACCAACCGTTGTAGCATCCCCGTGGTTACGTGAATCAAAATTCTGACGCTTGGCAACGGGCTCATATTTATGACGGCTGCAATGTCCTGGGGTTGTGATCACCTTTTGTCATCTTCCAAAAAGCAAAGTCAATGGGGAAGCCAGATTCGTTTAACGACGGTGTTACTAACTTAACAATTGCAGTGATTCACCGAACAACTGTGGCAAGAAAGGTCGTAAAATGGGGCAACTGTCTCACTTAGCAACAGAAATATTGGGCTCGACTGTGTTTGTTAAGCCGGGGGCTACCTGTACAGAGTCAATACACACTAAGTCTGTGTATTTTCTGGGATCGGCAACTTTATGTTGGACCCTAGAGAATTTCTTTATAACATCCATAACTCCAGGCACCTGGCTTATAATTAAGGATGGGTAGGAAGTATATTCTAAAGCAGTGGTTCTCAACCTTTTTAATGCCACGACCCCCCCAACCGGTCATAAGTCGAGCACTACTCAACTGGTCGTAAGTCGAGGACTACTCAACTGGTGCAGCACCATTTGCAGAATGGGATTTTTGGCAGGCTCAACAGGGCAGAGACAGCCTGGACAATTCCTATTGGTTTTTGAAAGCCAATAGAATTAGACTCTATTCAAGAGAGTCTATTCTATTGGCTTTCAAAAGCCAATAGAATAAAAGGGAGTAGCACAGCTAAGGAAAAGGAGGAAAAAATGGCGGACTGCGTTGTTTGGCGACCCCCGTGAAATGGTCGTTCGACCCCAAATGGGGTCCCGACCCACAGGTTGAGAACCACTGTTCTAAAGCTTCAAACTTGGCCCTTTTATGACTCGTGGACTTCAACTCCCAGAATTCATAGCCAGCATGCCTAGCTGAGGAATTCTGGGAGTTGAAGTCCACGAGTCATACAAGGGCCAAGTTTGAAGACCCCTGTTCTAAAGCATGGCAACTTGAAAATGGGCGGACTCCAACTCCCAGAATTCCCCAGCCGACATGGGGGAGGGGAAAGTCACAACTGGTGAGTTAAAAGATTTTAGTCCTCTTGCACCAGATTCTGCAGAGCACCGGTTCCCAACCTTTTGGGCCCAGGGACCGGTTTTGTGGAACACAATTTTTCCACGGGCCATGGAGGAGGAGTGTGCAATCTAGATCCTGCGCTCGGGCAGTTTCTCTTGCCTGCTGCTCACCTCCAGCTGTGCAACCCAGTTCCTAAAAGGCCAGGCCCAGGGCTTAGGGACCTCTGCTGTAGAGACAGAAGCTTTATAGGGAACTGCGTTAAGAGTAATAGAGTTAAGCGTTGGGAAAATTCATTGAATATAAAGGTTGGAAAAAACTATGAGAATTGTCTAGTCCAGACATGTAAAACTCACGATGTCACGTGATGTCACACAACGTATCGAGACTGTTTTGCCATTGCCGGTAACGGGGTGGGCGCGGCTTCTGTGTGACGCATCCGGCCTATGGGCCGGCACTTTGACACCCTTGGCTAGTGTATTTTTGGTTTCTAGCAAAAAAAGTATATATCATCCATTGAAAACAATGGATTTGCTTAACAACGGCCACAAAAACATTCATAATGTAGGGCATGGTCACAGCTAACTGCTAGCACAACGTATGACCATAATTCCAGGCTCAATTCTGGTTGAAAATCAAGGCCATCTGCGTTATGTAGATCAAGGTTGAAACGAAGTCTTCACCATCTCCCCTCCAAGCACTAACCACGCGTCTTGTCCATCTCCATGCGCCTCAGCTGGTGCTCCCACGTGCCCAGCTCATTGTCAATTTCCTCATCGCTGTCGTAGCCGGACTGGTGCTCTTTGATTGTCCTCTCCCACATGATCTGCATCTCCTGCATGGCCTGTTTGTGCTTCATGATCATGTCATACATTTGCTGCATCTGTAGAGTAGAGTAGAGTAGAAATAGAACAGAACAGAATAATGAAAGAATGGAATATAACATAATAGAATTAGAACAGAATAGAATAGAAATTTAGAATAGAACAGAACAGAATAGAAATAGAAGAGAACAGAACAGAACAGAATAATGAAAGAATGGAATAGAATAGAATAGAGTAGAGTAGAGTAGAGTAGAGTAGAGTAGAGTAGAGTAGAGTAGAGTAGAATAGAAATAGAACAGAACAGAATAATGAAAGAACGGAATATAACATAACATAATTAGAACAAAATAGAATAGAAATTTAGAATAGAACAGAATAGAGTAGAAATTTAGAATAGAACAGAATAGAAATAGAATAGAACAGAATAATGAAAGAACGGAATAGAATAGAATAGAATAGAACAGAACAGAATAAAAATAGAACAGAAATACAATAGATTCCTTCCACATCATTCAAACCCTTCCCAACTAGAAGGAAGACGTCCCAATTAGCCCCTATTTCACAATTCTTGCTTTGCAGAGCCAGGAAGAAGCCAGATAGCAGCTGCTTAAATCTTTCAAACCTCAGGCCATAGTCTCATTCATATAATACAGCGTTTGCTGAATAAATTAGTTATTTGCATTTGTACAATACAGTAAGCCACAAACATGGTATTACACATCAAAAACATTAGGTTTGCATAATATGCTAAGGCAAAACATGTGTAAACCTACTCTATAAGACTCTAGGAAACAATGGGGCATATTTGGCTAACATGGCCATAACAGAAAACTTCTGTGTCTTTTTGGCTTGGAGAATACTGTTAATATAGCTAGTCTAATAAAAGTAGCTTTAAGTCTACACAGTGTCTGTTTCTATTACTTAGTCTTTTCTACCTTAGAAGGCTGACATCGATCTTGTAAGTCTGAATGTGTTTCCTTCCTCCCTTTTTTAGCTTCATATTAATGGGGAGAGGCTCTCTGAGGCATTTCCATACACCACTTCCTTGGTCTGGGCTTAAGGCTGGTTTATCTGATTGATGTATTGATAATGGATTCTCTTTCTGTCCTTCAAGGTCATCTTCTATACTACCTACCTACCTACCTACCTACCTACCTACCTACCTATCTTAATCCCACTTTATTTTTACAATAACTCAAGGCAGTGAACATATCCAACACACCTTCCTCCTCTTATTTTCCCCACAACAGCCATCTTAGGAGGTGAGTTGGGCTGAAAGAGAGTGACTGGCCCAAGGTCACCCTGCTGACTTTCATGGCTAAGGCAGGACTAGAATTCACAGTCTCCTGGTGACTGACCCAAAGTCACCCAGCCAGCTTTCATGCCTAAAGTGGGACTAGAACTTAGTCTCCTGGCTTCTAATCCTGGCCTTAACCCCTATATCAGGGGTTTTCAAACTTGGCCCTTTTATGACTTGTGGGCTTCAACTCCCAGAATTCCTCAGCCAGGCACACTTGGCTGAGGAATTCTGGGAGTTGAAGTCCACAAGTCATAAAAGGGCCAAGTTTGAAGACCCCTGCCCTAGATCAACACAGAGAAAACTGGATGGCAGCAGCAGAGACACAAAAACTAAAAAACGCAGTAGCCCCAACAAGCTCCCACCAGAACAATGTGACCTTTATATACCTCTTGCTGCTCCTTCAGCTGCTTCTTCTGCGCATCTGACAGCTCTGTCACACCCACCAATCCAACTGGCTTCCCCTTCTCGTAGCCAAGTCCCTTGAGGTCCTGGACTGGAGAAGACAGAGAGATTAGAAGAGTTAACTTGCTCCTCCACTGCAACCCTCTTCCCAACTATTGTTGCTTAAAAGCACCCTACTATTCTCTATGGTAGGCCAGTATCTCTGATCCAGGTGCATCAAGCAGCATTTTAGTCTTAACATTCTAGAATATGTCAAACTCGCGGCGTTACATGACGTTGTGCAACGTATCGGGACGGTTTTGCCATTGCCAGCAATGGGGTGGGTGCGGCTTCCGGATGATGCATCCGGCCCGCGGGACAGCAGTTTGACACCCATTCTAGAAGATGCTCCTTCTTTGGTTGTTCTTGAATGTGGTGCATAGCTACCATGACAAGGCGTGTTCATGAGAATCAAGTAAATTCTCCGGTATTTTTCCCAGCCCTATAGCATAGTTCATCTCTGACTGCCTTATAAGGGTTAACCCTCTCCATAAAGAGAATTAATCTTAATAGCTCTGAGGCTAAGGCTCTTAACAGCCAGAGGCAAGGCCATGTTGGGGCTTAAAAAAACATCAGTGGAGCAGATGCGAAGATCCCATTACAGGCAGTCCTCAACTTATGACCATAATAGAGGCTGCCCATTAGGGCCAGAAGTCATGATGTTGTAAAAACAGGTTGGTTATGTAATTATTATTTTTTTCAAGTGGACGGATGCTATGATTTGCTATGGGGATGATTTCACTGAAAAGTGGAAGTGCCTTAAAATGCCGTAAAGTGTAGTCATGGGCCCACAGGATTCTGCAAATGGCTCTAAATGTATCCACCCTGCCCAGTACTCAAAGTTCGGTCACATGATCCTGTGGGTGGAGGGCTCCCCGACCGTCGCAACTTCAAATGGGGGTTGTAAGTAGCCCCAAGGTAGAGCTGTTCTGAGTTTGAATGGTTGTAAGCGACCGGTCGTAAGTCAAGGACTACCTGCCCAGGTGTCAACAAAATGAAGCTGCTTCTCTAGCGCCACCCTCTGCTTCCAGTAAAACTGGAGGAGATAACTCACCCCCACCCCCGCAAGAGCTCCCTCAGAAGTCCCAGCTCTGCCCTGGTTTTAAAACACAACAAGAGCTAACCAGACAAGGGGGTTGGCGACAGCTCCTGTGTCTGCTGAGCAAGCTCTGGAGGAGGTAAGTCCACCTTCTCCTCCTCTGGGCCCCACCGGCTTTTCCGTTTTTTCTTCACACTGGATGTGGCTACCTGCTTCGGCAGAGAAACCGTGGGTACAGGTGTTGAAGAGGAGGAGGAGGAGGAGGAGGAAGAGCAGGAGAAGGAGGAGGAGGAGGAGGAAGAGGAAGAAGAAATGGAAGAGGAAGCCCCTCCCTCAGAAGAGGCCTTGCGCTTCAGGTTGGCTTCCGATCCTGGTGGCATGCCCTCCATGTTACTGTTTGCTTTCCGGAATTCCTCCAGCTTCTGTCGGTAATACTTGTATCCAGAACTATTGGGCTCGTACAAAAATCTGCAAGCATACACAAAACAAAAAAAGGGTGTCAGCTGCCACCTCATACCTGCACTTCACTACTATTCAGTATCAGTTGCTGTGAACCCTAGTGGGGGGAGGGGGCTGGATGGGAGGGGGGGATGCTTCAAGAGAAACGTTCACTATTAGTTATCTCTCCGAGGTGGGCTTCGAAATTAACCCGGTTGGGAACGGGACACAGCTGCATACCGAACCTACGTCTGAAGTGACCACCTTTAATCAGTTCAATCAATCAGAATAGAGCTGGAAGGGACCTTCAAGGTCTTCTAGTCCAACCCCCTGCTCAAGCAGGAGACCCTATACAATTTCAGACAAGTAACTGTCCAGTCTCTCCTTAAAAACCTTCACTGATGAAGCACCCATAACTTCTGACAGCAAGCTGTCCCACTTATTAATTGTTCCCACCATTAGGAATTTTCTCCTTAGTTCTAGGTTACTTCTCTACTTAGTTTCCATCCATTGTTTCTTGTCTTGTCCACTTCTGGTGCTTTGGGAAATAGATTGGCCCCCTCTTTTTTGTGGCAACCCCTCAAAACATCTTGTCTATACTGATCCCATCCCTTCCTCAACCTTATAAAACTCAATAAAACTTTATTAAAAAAAAACATTTTGTCCGAATTTGATTGGACATGGGGGGGCAGTAATGGGAGACATCGTTCAGCTCTGGCTATGCACTAACCGTTAATTCGCTTGACTTCTAGTAAACTATACCTTTCTCAGCAAATGGGAGTTAAGCATCGTTCTTAAGTAGAGGGTCAAGCTGCAGACCAGATGCCTGAAGTGACCGTTCTAAAAACATCTTGTTTGAAGTTGACTGGACGTGGTGGGCCAGTAATGGGAGGCAACTAAGGCAGGGGAAACTTAAGACTTGGGGATTTGGGGATGCGATTTTCAATTCTGGCTATGAGCTACTATAAGTCACTTGACCCCTAGTAAACTGTACCTTTCTTAAAAAATGGAATTTAGGATGTTTTAGAGTAGGGGTCCTCAACCTTGGCCCTCAACCTTGGCAACTTTAAGACTTGTGGACTTCAACTCCCAGAATCCCTCAGCTGGCTGAGGGATTCTGGGAGTTGAAGTCCACAAGTCTTAAAGTTGCCAAGGTTGAGGACCCCAGTTTTAGAGGATCAAGCTGAGACAGGTCTGACAAAGAGGCAATAAATCCAGCAAGTTGTCATTTACAGAGACAATACATCCAATAGCTTATCAGGATTTTCAGCAGGGCACGGCTATTTTCCTTCCTTGCTGAAAAAAGGCTGCTAGTGAACCTGTAAGTGTATTTCTATTTCCATAACAGGAATCGCCAATTCTGCAATACACACATACAGACACCCCCCCCTTTCCGAATTCAAATCTGAAGCATCTTAAAAGTTAAAAGCAACTGCAATAGAAGCATGCGTTTCCTACAGAAAACAGGTTTATGGCTTGACTTTTTATTCAGTAACTGATCACATACAGGTAGTCCTCGACTCACAATTTCTTTAGCGACCCCTCAAAAGTTACAACGGCACTGGGAAAAAGGGACTTACGACCGTTTTTCACAGTTACCACCTTTGCAGCATCCCCAGGATCATGGGATCAAAATTCAGATGCTTGGCAGCTCGCTCCTATTTATGACTGTTGCTGTGTCCCAAGGTCACGGGATCACTTCTTGCAGATCTTCTGACAAGCAAAGTCAGTGGGGAAGCCAGATTCACTTAACGACCGGGTACCAATTGAAGCAATTCACTTAACAACCGTGACAAGATAGATCATAAAATGGGGCAAAACTCACTTAACATCTTAGCAACCCAAATTTTGGGCTCAGTTGTGGTTTCAAGTCGAGGACTACCTGTATTCTCTATAGAGCGTTGATCAAACCATAATTTGATTTAAACCAAGATGACACACTTGGATACAAAATCAGGCTCAGGCCTGAATGCAAATTTAAACCATTTATCCATCTAAGTACACATAAAAGCAGAGAAGGATGCATTTGGATGTTCAGTCTGAACAGGCAGTGATCATGGCACAGGTGGCTAGATTCTGCGCAGCAGCACTGGGGATTCGCCAGAAACATAAACAAACATTTTAGATCTTTTTTAATAATCTTTTATAATCAATTACATTGCATATTTTTATCCAGCATTAGACTATAGTCCAGTGATGGAGAACCTTTTAGAGACCAAGTGCCCAAACTGCAACCCAAAACCCACTTATGCATCATCGAGTGCTGGGTGGGTGTGGCCAATTGGGTGGGCGTGGCTGCGGTGGTAACGGCAGACCGGGTGGGACTAAAAAGTTCAATCAATCAATTCCAACTTTGCAAGATCTTTTTCTTCCCGCGAGAAGTTGAAATTGACTGATTGAACCTTTTTTTTTTTTTTTTGCACATGGCAGCAGAGGCCTAAAGCGAAAAGGTTTTATAAAGCCCAGCTGAAGGCCTAGGACTGGGACAACGGCGCACGTGCCCACAGAGAGGGCTCTAAGTGCCGCCTCTGGCACTCGTGCCATAGGTTCGCCACCACTATAGTCAATGTATTTTTATTGTCAGGTCAATATGATTCAGTTTTTCTGAAGCTAGCTAGTTTTTTTTTATGCTGTCTGTAAAACTAGGCAGATCTTGGTCACCCACTGATTACATCATTCATGGTAATATATTGCTCTGTCTTTTTGTGTTGGTTCCGTTCCGTTTTATTTTATTTGAATGTTGAATTTACGCGTTGGCCTTCGGCTGTAATAATAAATTGATTCTTGATTCTAGCATTGCTATGGTTTTGGAGAAAACTGTTACTGGCATCATTGCAACTTTGTGCTTTTTATCTTAACACAGAATGAAACCAAGATCTGATTCGTCAAATGTCCAGGGTTTTTTTTGGCGCGGGGGGGGAGGAACTGGTCCTTTTCATGGCCCCCCCAATGCCCTGAAATCAGTGAAGGAAAAAAGCTCAAGTGCTAAGGAAGCTCATCAAACACGTTTGTAGGTTTTCAGCATTTTAAAACCATTTGGGGAAAAGCTGGCATCTCTGCCAGGGTCTCCCTTCTCACCGGCCTGCTTTACCTGAATGACTGATTGTCTCGGTGGTTTTTCAGGGCAACCATTTCCACCACAGGGCCGCCGTCGGCCACAAACCGAGCCAGCTTCTCCGCACAGTCCTTGGTCTCTTCATCCTCTGGGGGTGAAACTTTAAGCAGGCTGTCAGTACGGTGTCCCCAACTCACACACCCAACAGTCACAAGATTAATCTGGCTTTAAGGATCCCAGAGGGTGGGAATAAGTGGGAAGAGGATGGTTGAAATGATTGCTTTGTTTCCCCTTTTTCTTTATAAATGCAAGTTAGGAAAAAAAAATGGAACTAGCCTGTGACACTGCTGGAAAAAAGACTGGGAGGCTAGCCTGGAATGTGGAAGTGATATGGAGGTTTTCTCAAGCAGGCCCTTAAATAGCTGCAAAGGCTAAGAATGATACTCTAGTACAGGGGTAGGCAACCGAGGCTCTTTTATGACTCGTGGACTTCAACTCCCAGAATTTCTGAGCCGGCCATGCTGAGGGGACAGGAAGAGTTTTCCAAGCTGAGCCATGCTGGCTCAGAAATTCTGGGAGTTGAAGCCCACGAGTCATAAAAGAGCCAAGGTTGCCTACCCCTGTCTAGTGCATTGTTTCTCAAGCTTGGCATTTTTAAGATATATGGGCTTCAACTTCCACAATTCCCTAGCCAGCACGGCTGGCTGGGGAATTCTGGGAGTTGAAGTCCACACATCTTAAAGGTGTCAACATTGAGAAGGCTGCTCTAATGAAACCTCAGTGCAACGGATTAATCTATCCTGATTAATGCCATCTGGATTACAGAAAGAGCACAAATCATTATGGCAACATACTTTCCAATTTAATGGACATTCAAAAATTACCAATACCCCAGCCCCTGAATTAATTTGGTAAGACAAAAGCTTTCAATATTTTGAAGGTGCAATGCTGGGAAACATTTTAATTTCATTCAATCTAGACCCCCGCTTTCCCTTCCAATGACTACTACTTTAATGATCTGAATTTTGCATAGGGCATATTGAGGGATGCAGGGTGGTAATGTAATAAGTTAAAAGTCTGTGTATTTTAAGCACCAATATTCCCCTTTTGATATCCAAACCACATTGCTAATATGCCAGGTTCTGTTTTGCCTAGAAACCAGCCTAGAAAAGTTGTTTTTTTTAAAAAAAAAGCTATAATTCAGGCAGCTATGTCTGAGGTATCTGAAGTGTGATCTGACTCCTCACTTTCCATTTTCCATTTTTCTGACTGTAAATCTACCAGGCAAAGCAAGATACACACGTTGAACATAACAGAATTCTTCTTTAGCTAACAATCAGAAAAAAACTCCATTCTTCTGAATTTTCAAATACAACCGGTATAATTTAAGTAAAGGTAGTCCTCGATTTACGACTGTAATTGAGCCCGGTTTTATAGTTGAAAGTTTTGCTGGTCATTAAGTGGGTTATCATGAGACAAGCTTTTTTTTTTTTTGCAGTGGTTGTTAATTAAGTTAATGCTGCAGTCATTAAGTGAAGACGATTGGTACTGGGTGGGATTTTTTGCCGGAAACCAGAAATAAATGCTGGTTTGGGGCAAAAAAAGTTGTCAATTGTGGTCATGTGACCATAGGTCACTGCAAACGCCATAAATGTGGGCCAGTTACCAAGCATTCAAAATGTGATCATGTGACACTGAGAGGGAGGAGGGGCAGCCCTCAGAACTTTGAATCCAGGCTGTAAGTATTTTCGGGATCCGTCATAAGTTGAGGACTACTTTTATCATTTTAACTTTTCAAATTACTTTTCCACATGTATTCTTTCAATTAAGTTGTGAGCTATTTTTTTTTCTAAAAAGAAATCCTCAGAATCTAGAATTTTTTTTTCAAAAATCAGAATTTTAAGAATCATTTTTTTTAAAAAAAAAAATCCGAATTCAGACAGGAAATTGTTAAAAAAAATAACTAAAATAATCCTCTTCTCCCAAAATGTATCAGAACGAAACACAAGCTCAAACATGGGGAACTTAAAATGGCTAACAGTAGCAAAGTCCAGGCTGCATTGAAGTTCTAAAAACTCATAAATGTTGTAATTTAAATCTAGGCAACAACTGAGTCCAGCAGCTTGAACACCCAGTCTGTAACTACTATGGTTTTGCTACTAATTGTTAGGTAACCAGCATTTAAGTTCCATTTGCTACCTCCACTATTTTGCCATGTCAGGGTCTTGTGGGAATTATGACTGAGTGTGTAGCCACCCCAGACTTCTTGGGGAAGGAAACACTGGCAGAGCCAAAGGGCACTACAGACTATGTCAGTCAACCCAGCAGGCAAATTTTTGTCCTGCAATATAGAGCAGGAATTCTGGTCTTATTTGCTATCACATCATTAGCAGGTTTCTTATTATTCCTAGCTTAATGTCATAGGAGAGAATGTTATCTGCATCCTGAAATGTGTGTTATCAGTGCTTGATTTTACGCATTGGCATACCAATTTATATCAATCCATTAGACAAAAACCAATAATTTTGAAACATAGTTTACTTCAGAGATGATGGATATAATGCAGCGTGGGCACGTTCTTTGTGTAAAAGAAATGCAGGGTAAGGAGAATGAGGCTGCATGTACCTATTAATTAATTGGGGGACAAATTGAAATGCATCCCATCTCCTTAGCTCTATCACAGGGGTCTTCAAACTTGGCCCTTTTATGACTTGTGGACTTTAACTCCCAGAATTCCTCAGCCAGGCACCCTGGCTGAGGAATTCTGGGAATTGAAGTCCACAAGTCATAAAAGGGCCAAATTTAAAGACCCCTGCTTTATCACATTCATTTTAACTACCCAATATAAGTGGACTGCCTGATCACAACACTGTAAGCCGAGGTCTCTCAACTTTGGCAACTTTAAGACGCATGGACTTCAACTGCCAGAATTCCTCAACTAGCCATGCCGGCTGGGGAATTCTGGGAGTTGAAGTCCACACGTCTTAAACTTGCCGAGATGGGGGGAACCCTGCTGTAAGTGAAGTGAACGACTTATGAAGCTGTGAAACATCGTCTCACCTTTCTGAGAAGGGGAGGTCTCCTCTACGTGAGCTTGGCCTTTCTTCCACATCTCAGCCAGTTTCTTTCTGTAGTAGAGAAATTCTGGGCTGTTCTTATCGTGTAGGAACCTGAAAGCAGGAAAAAAGGGCGAACGATGTATTTAAGGCTGCTTTGGGGATGGGGACAGGCGGCTGCAGACCAAGATATCTCCAGGTCCCCAAAGTAGGAAAGGCTGATGGTCCTGGATATGCCCTGGGAGGAGAAGGGAAGTCCCATTGATGGAACACCAGAAGCCTAGGGCTTTTGGTGAAGAGTATGGACCCAATCCCTATCAGGGGAACCCCGCCCAGGGAGAAACAGGAAGCAACCTACGCAAATACTGGGTTATCCTTGCAGTCTTCCAGGGCGACCTTCTCCATTTCTGGGCCCCCTTCGGCCACCACCTTGGCCAGCTTCTCAACGATTCGGCGGGTCCGGATGTCCTCTGGGGGGCAAACTTTAAGCAGGCTGTCAGTACAGGGGGCTCTCTACTCACACACCCAACAGGCACATTACCTCTAAGAGCCATGAGTCGGCAGGGAGAAGGCAGGATGGGGAATGAGAAGAGGAGGAAATGGAGACATGGTGGACAGCAACGTAAGCCTGACGCTTTTAATCCGGGCAGGGAGAAAGGAAGGTACGTGGGAAAGAAACATGGTAGGGCTGAGGTTCATACATCTTCAGGTTTGGCGCAATAGCTACTAGATTCACCCAGGGCCCGAGGCAGCTTCTGCAACAACAGAACCCAATGCCAAATCAGATCTTTGATCTGAGCTTGTGAAAGGACAGGGCCTCAGAACCCAGGGCCCCAAAACCTGCAGGGAGAAAGGCTGAGATTCATCATTGAGATCCTTCATTGAGGAGTCCTCGGGGCTCTCTGAGCTCGGTTGTTTTCTTGGAAGACATTTTATTACCCAAACTAAGTAACATCATCAGGGCTAGTGATCGTTATCGGTGCTAGAAAACACCCAAATTCAGAGAGCACCAAGGACCCCCCCCTCGCTTCAACCCTGAGCTACAAATATTCTCCTTTATTGGTATCATCGCCCTTGAACACCTGTGAGAATTATACAAGGAGTTTAATTTCTCAGGTGTCCCAAAGAGAAGGCTACCAATGAAATAGAAGCTTTGCTATCTGCATTAAGGCAAGGTTGAAGAAAACTGCAACCCCGGTTATTGCTAAATAATTAACTCATAGCATCCCAACAACAGAATGTGCTGGCTGAGGCTACTGGAATTCAGCCACAGGTTCCCATATACCTTCCGATTTCAGGTAATGGCACCGGATTATACAGTCCTGTTCTGAAATCCAGGAATGGCCGCCCAGATTAAATGAGGAATGCAATCTTTCCTTGATTCTAGTGAAGTGAACCAAAGTCAAATGGGGAAGTTTATTTTATTTATTTTATTTATTTATTTATTTATGAGACTTATATACCACTTTAAGTGCAAGCACTCTCTAAGCGGTGTACACCAGTAAGCAATGTATATATATATATATTTACATTGCCCCCAACAATCTGGGTCCTCATTTTACTTACCCCGGAAGGATGGAAGGCTGAGTCAACCTTGAGCCGGTGAGATTTGAACCGCTGACCTGCTGAACACAGTCAGCTAAAGTGGCCTGCAGTACTGTACTCTAACTGCTGCGCCACCTCGGCTCAGGGGAGTCTTGCTTCTCCCCTTGATAGTGCCTAAACTGGCCCATTTTTCCTGGCAGAAGTCCAGCTAGAGCCGGCCTTCAACCCTCCGTGTCTGCCTGGTTGTGGAAGAATGGAATTAAAAGAAATTTAGCTTCTGCTTTTAAGTACTGAAGCTTCCTGTGTCATCTGAATCAGGAATTAGGGTTGATGGAAACTAAGGTTAGTTTAAATATATCAGCTTCACAATTAGATAAAACTTGTTTAAATGTAATGCTGATTAATTTTAACTGACCTGATAAATAGGGGTCAGTTAAAATCTCCTGGTTAGATGCAAGGGAGATGAGATGTCTGATTTGAAGGAATGTAACATCTTAATGTAACATTAATGTAACATCTGAATGCTGTCTGCTAGACTCCTATTCTGAATATCTCTCATAGTTGTCTGTTCAAATGAACTCATCTTCTTGAGTTGTTGCAATTGTCTTGGGCTGGGGAGAAGGCTGCTAGATATCCAAATTGTAATATGTTTTCAAAGCAGATTAGTGGTCAGGGGCAAGTTTCATGAAAGCTACACAGTCCTAGCTGTGAAAGTAACCTCGTCTGCCACAAGATACACTATTCCCTTGCACCATGATGTCAGACTGTTCTGTTAAGCATTACAGAGGGAAAAACTGAAAGAACCAATTTTTCGGTATGATCTGCTGAATAATCAAAAAAGGGTTGGATTTGTACATCATAAAAATAACAATAACTCTTTAGTTGTCCTAGACCAGGGGTAGGCAACCTGGGCTCTTTTATGACTCGTGGACTTCAACTCCCAGAATTCCTGAGCCAGCCAATTCTGGGAGTTGAAGTCCACGAGTCATAAAAGAACCCAGGTTGCCTATCCCTGTCTTAGACCTAGGAGCTGTGATGGTGCAGTGGTTAGAATGCAGTATTGCAGGCTAACTCTGCCCACAGCCAGGAGTTTGATCCTCACTGGCTCACAGTTGACTCAGCCTTCCATCCTTCCAAGGTCGGTAAAATGAGGAGCCAGATTGTTGGGGGCAAAAGGCTGACTCTGTAAACTGCTTAGAGAGGGCTGTAAAGTTTTATTGCTATGGCTAGATACTCAGTGACCAGGTAGAAATCATCCTTTCTTAGCAAGGATATGGAAGTGGTTGGTTACTGCTGTCATAACATTTTAACCTATTTTTTTTAAAAAAAAAAACACAATAGCCACAAGCTAGTTAGTTTAGCATGTGGCACAGGCCAAGCATACTTAGACGGTTTAGCTTAGTGTAAACCATGGATGAATTCATCTTAACTATGCTGGCAAACACAACTTATAGGTTACCATAATGTCTGCCAATGGCCTGATTTATGTGCCAGGTTAACCATGAGGAGGTTGAGCCTAGTGTGATATCTGAACCAGGGATATGAATTAAATTGTACTTAAGGAGGAGCACCCTCACCATGATTTGAAAATATAGTCTGAGATAAATTTATCCACCGAACATATAATTTAGACCAGTGTTTCTCAAACCTGGCCAAACTTTAAAATGGGTGGATTTCAATTCCCAAAATGCATACTGGCTGGGGAATTCTGGGAGTTGAATGCCCAAGGCTAAGAAAGATGGATCCAGATTCCAGAGTGTTACTGAAATCTAAACAAGATCTGGCCCTGATTTGTCATTTTGCCCTGCACCAATTCTGTGGCTTAATATGTTGTGCAAATATATTCAGTGATTGATTATAGGACCTTTTAGCCTACAGCTGTCTTTTGACTTAGTTACTGAATCACAGTGAAATCATTCCACTTTTTAAATTCCCCCCCCCCCTTTTCTCTCTGCTATCTTTTCCACAAAACTACCCTAGCAGGATGCTAATGCATACATCTTGCTCAGCATTTGAGCAAATGTTTTTAGCTCGTAAACAAAACACAGGTCTTTTTAAAAAAAAAAAAAAAAAAAAACACCTAAGCACTTTTAGCATCTTCTGTTCGATCCATTTTTTAAAAAAACAAAGTACTGAATTAATTCAGGGCAGAAGCCTCGCCTGTTTAGGGGTTCCGTGATTACAGATGGCATTGCAGAGAAATGGATGACATCCCACCAAGAAACTTACTTTTGATTTCCAGCCATTGCTCATAATCCTCTTCTTCTTCGTCGTCTGGCGACTGGAAAACACTCAGGCGATTCGTTACCGGGGTCTGCTTGGAATGCGTGTAGTTTTTGACTTGATTCAACATGCTGCTCACGCTGAGATTGGGACGCTTGCCAGTCAAGGTGGGTTTCTTCACTGTACTTGCAGGGGGAGGATGGGATGTTTCTGTGGAACTGGAAGAAGCACCTATACAATTGAAAGGGGTGGGGAGATGGAAAGACTGATGTGATACAGCATTAGGAGAATAAGGCTACTTCAGATCCCTGCTCAGATCTCTCAAGGATGCCTTAGCCAAGTAATTTTAGTCACCTTCCTTCCCACGCATTTACAACATGGAAAGATTGGGGCCTTCCTTAGAGAACAAGAGGACCTTGCTGGATCAGCCCCCCTCCCCCCCAAAAACCCCCTCAAAATCTGGAGTCATGTAGTAGTGCTCAATGAAAGGTATTCCTCAAATTTATCAATGTGGACGACAGGGCAATTCATCCTCTTTCTCTGTTACTTTGTCCAATCCACTTTTAAAACTAAATGGATTGGGGGTTATCATCACCTCTGACAGGGCCGTATCAATGCGGGTTTTTTTTGCTTGAAAGAAACAACACAGGGCTCTGAAGAAATACAAGATGTCATAAAACAACACTGTATAGTGACGATTAGGACTGGAATTGCTGTCATTAAGTGATGGGTTGGTAAAGTGCAGTGCCACGTGACCACATGGCTTAGCAACCGCAGTTCCTACAATCCCGGGTGCTGTTGTGCAAGGCCAGCGTGGGTCTTTAAGCAAGGATGTCACGTGACCAAAATTTCTGATTTCCGGCTGGCTTTCCCATTGACTTTGCTGGTAGGAAATCAACAGGGAACACTGGAAATCACAATCATGTGACTGCAGGGATGCTGCAACAGCTGGAACTTAGAGGACCAGTTGTAAATCCCCCTCATTCAGTGCCATCACAGATTTGTAATGGCCCAGCGTCACTCGGGTGAGATGGGCAGTGTAGAAATTTAATACATACCCACCTACCTCTCTGCCTGTACTCTATTTCCAACTTCCTTAGCAGCAGGAAAACATTAGCAGCAAATCTTTTCCTCTTCATTTTCCACATTGGAGACAGCAGTTATGAGTATGCATAGCCATCTCCCCAAAAGTAACTTCCCAAATAAGTGTGAAACTTAAGTTTTATTTTAGGTATATTGGAAATATTAATTTTTCATTTACAAGAAACAGTTTTATTTTTTCGAATGAAGGTCAATATACACGTCCCAGGATAATGTTACTGGATCCAATCTGGGTCAGTCACTGGGACCAGAGGTTTAGTCTTCCGAGCTTTCGGATTCGTGCTGGAGCCCATCTTCAACAGTGTACTTTTGTTTAGTTGCCCATCCTAAGTGCTTGCCTCTTAATCAGGGCGGTTTTTTAACGGGTTCCACGGTGTGAGGAACCTCTTCTGAAACTCCGATTCTAGATCAACAAGTGTTAATGTGGCAGAACAAAACAAAACCCCTTGCCACTACCTTGTTTTTCCTTCTGTAGCTTCAGGAACTGCTGGAGGAAGCTGCCATCATTAGCAAATTTGTTGGAAACACCACTTTCGCCATCACCGCTATCGTCACTTAAAGAGAAAGTGAGAAAGGATATTAAAAGTTGCAACACAGTATTAGGATTTGTTTCTCTATAAGCCCATCCACTCCATCTTCCAGTATTGGGAAAGTGTTTGAGGTGTTGGTTCTGACTTTTAAAGGCCTACATGGCATGAGCTCAGGATACCATGCTCCTATAGGTTACCTATGGAATTCTTTACCCCATTACTTCAGCCTATGCTACATGGACAACCATTGAAGATATGTTGTGGACCCCATCAGCTAAAGAATTTTGACTGGTGGGGTCATCATCATCATCATGTTGGAAGGGACCCTGGAGGCCATCTAGTCCAACCCCCCTGCTCAGGCAGGAAACCCTATACCATTTCAGACAAATGGCTGTCCAATCTCCTCCTCTGCCATTCCTCCACCCTATGGAACATTCTCTCCCCAGAGGGTTGGCAGACCCCCACTCTCCTGGCCTTTTGGAAAGGTTCAAAGATCTGACTCTGCAGCCTTGCTTGGGGATCACATAGGAGCAAGCAGCTAGGGGGTTGGTTAGTGCTTTGAAGGCCCTCCCCACACCTTTTAACGTTGTTAGTATAGTTTTTAAAATCTTAATCTGTGTTAATTTTAATGTTTTAATATTTTAATTATTTTTCTCCCTGTTTGATCATTTGTAAGCCGCCTAGAGTCACCTGACAGGGGAGATGAGTGGCATAAACATGTAATAAATAAACTTTTTAATATTATATTTTAACCATCTTTGTCACACTGCTCAGCGTTGCACAGTGAGGGAGATGGGCAGTTTCCTGGATGGATGGATGGATGGATGGATGGATGGATGGATGGAGTATGTCACTGATATCTTTTCTTTCCCAGCTAATAGTTGAGCCACTCTCATCTGAGGAAAGGGCTGACTTGTTAGTTACTAGATTAGCGTAACATGCTAAGCCAAAAGGCGGCTGATTGGTTTATGGCTCTTGCAATTGAGTTAAATCAATAAACCACCATTTGGCACATTGTGCAAGCTCAGCCTATGGGAAACAGGAGACAGTTTTGGTCACCACGATATAAAAAAGATGTTGAGACTCTAGAAAGAGTGTAGAGAAGAGCAACAAAGATGATTAGGGGACTGGAGGCTAAAACATATAAGGAACGGTTGCTGGAATTGGGTAGGTCTAGTTTAACGAAGAGAAGGACGAGGGGGGACAGGATAGCAGTGTTCCAGTATCTCAGGGGCTGCCACAAAGAAGAGGGAGTCAAGCTATTCTCCAAAGCGTCTGAAGGCAGGAAAAGAAGCAACGGATGGAAACTGATCAAGGAGAGAAGCAACCTAGAACTAAGGAGAAACTTCCTGACAGTTAGAACAATTAACCAGTGGAACAACCTGCCTCCAGAAGCAGTGAATGCTCCAACACTGGAAGTTTTTAAGAAGAGACTGGGCAGCCATTTGTCCGAAACGGTATAGGGTTACCTGCCTGAGCAGAGGGTCGGACTTGATGACCTCCAAGGTCCCTTCCAACATTCTTATTATTATTATTATTATTAAATCTGAGGGCTCATACGCATAGGCTAGTTATTGTTCTGCCTCGCAAAAGTTCTCCAATGTTATAGAAAATTTTCTTTCACACCACCTTACCCTCTCGGGCCCTTTTATTAATCATACCAAGGCTAAGCAATACACAACCAATACACAACCCTTCCATCACCAATTCACATTCTTTTCTGTTACTGACCCCACCATCGCCTGTTTATTACAATTATGTCAGAATGATACTTAAGAGTCAATTCTACATACTCGCTCCCCTGTGAAACCTGCTGGGCTGGCAAGTGGTTCTGTTTGGCTTGCCGCTCCATCTTGGCTTCGATTTCCCGCTTCTTCTGAGCAATCAGCTTCTCCTGATGGAGGATGTTGACGTTGGTCTTCACTGATTTGGGCATCGCAACTCCAAACCACCGGCTGGCTTTCCCTGGTTAGCAAGAAGAGGGAACACAGAATCACTTTGCAAGACAAGGTTGATAGGATATAATTGCAAAGGAAGAGAGATCCTAAATGACAAGTTTCCCTTTCCTTCCACAAATGTAATAAGCACAATATTTAAGGATTAATAGCACTTTGGATTCCATCTCCCAAAAGTGCTATAATATGAATGTAGCACCTCCCTGCTTTAAGCTGTTGCATCTGCCAATAATGTTCTAATTTTCATTTTATCTGCTACTTTTTACTGGATTGTGTTATTTTTGTGCAGCAATTACATTAGCATTTTAATCTTACTGCATCCAATCTTATAGACCGATATTGTAAATTGCTATAGAACAACTTAACCTGAAAGTCAATGTAAAATCCCTTAGATAAATCAAGAATAAATGGCTAATAAAATATATTTTATGTCTTTTTAAAAATCTAAGAAACTGAGGTCTGATCAGAGTATTTTGCCAGAAATTTATTTTGTGCCAGAAATGACCAAGTTTCCTATACATCATGGGAAAAAAACTGTTCCTGATCCTGCATACTTTACCTTAGCAGTATAATGAAACATAGGTGGAACATCACAGAGATGCCATGTTATTCTTACAATTGTTGAAAAATGGGGCAGTCATTTGATTTGTTACAAGTCAGCTAAGGAGCTTTCCATCAACCAAAGATTTGAATATTCTTTTCTATATTCACATGCGCTGTGCTGCAGCAACTTTATGAACAGTTATTTAGTAGGTGGCTTGTACCACTAATACCCACTTTCAGTGATCAATAAGCTGAAAACACTTGGCATTATTTATATATTAAAATTTTTACCAGAATAATCAAAACAAAAATAACCTAGAACTAAGGAGAAACTTCCTGACAGTTAGAACAATTAACCAGTGGAACAACCTGCCTCCAGAAGCGGTTTCCTGCCTGAGCAGGAGGTTGGACTAGATTACCTCCAAGGTCTCTTCCAACTTTTATTATTATTATTATTATTATTATTATTATTATTATTATTATTATTATTATTACTACTACTACTACTACTACTACTACTATTACTACTACTACTACATTAAACATTTAAAAAGACAATTTCCCAGCCTAGTGAAGCTCCTTTCCTAGCCAATGACAATTGAGGAAAACAATAGCAACAATGACCTAATTGCCTATCATAGAAGTATAAGATCCCTTTTACAACATCTGAGGTAGATTAAGCTGAGAGTCCATGAATGGCCTAAAGCCACCCAGTGAATTTAAAGAGCCAAGAATGAATTTGAGTCTGCATCTCTGCAGTTTCTTGCAACACATCGTGTTAGTTTTGAGTACTACCAATATTGTCTCTGGTGCTTGTCAGTATGACTTTTCAAGTTACTTAGAATCTATTGAAGTAGCACAGAAATTTCAGTAAACAAAGAAATGTGAAATAAAACAGACTACACAAATACTTATCATGTATTAAATCAAGACATATTTGAATAACAGAATAACAAATTGGAAGGGACCTGGGAGGTCTTCTACTCCAACCCACTGCTCAGGCAGGAAACCCATTTCAGACATATGGTTGTGCAATTTCTTCTTAAAAACTTCCAGTGTTGGAGCATTCACCGCTTCTGGAGGCAGGTTGTTTCACTGGTTAATTGTTCTAACTGTCAGGAAGTTTCTCCTTAGTTCCAGGTTGCTTCTCTCCTTGATTAGTTTCCTTCCATTGCTTCTTGTCCTGCCTTCAGGCGCTTTGGAGAATAGCTTGACTCCCTCTTCTTTGTGGCAGCCCCTGAGATACTGGAACACTGCTATCCTGTCCCCCCTCGTCCTTCTCTTCGTTAAACTAGACCTACCCAATTCCAGCAACCGTTCCTTATATGTTTTAGCCTCCAGTCCCCTAATCATCTTTGTTGCTCTTCTCTACACTCTTTCTAGAGTCTCAACATCTTTTTTATATCGTGGTGACCAAAACTGTCTCCTGTTTCCCATAGGCTGAGCTTGCACAATGTGCCAAATGGTGGTTTATTGATTTAACTCAATTGCAAGAGCCATAAACCAATCAGCCGCCTTTTGGCTTAGCATGTTACGCTAATCTAGTAACTAACAAGTCAGCCCTTTCCTCAGATGAGAGTGGCTCAACTATTAGCTGGGAAAGAAAAGATATCAGTGACATACTCCATCCATCCATCCATCCATCCATCCATCCATCCATCCAGGAAACTGCCCATCTCCCTCACTGTGCAACGCTGAGCAGTGTGACAAAGATGGTTAAAATATAATATTAAAAAGTTTATTTATTACATGTTTATGCCACTCATCTCCCCTGTCAGGTGACTCTAGGCGGCTTACAAATGATCAAACAGGGAGAAAAATAATTAAAATATTAAAACATTAAAATTAACACAGATTAAGATTTTAAAAACTATACTAACAACGTTAAAAGGTGTGGGGAGGGCCTTCAAAGCACTAACCAGCCCCCTAGCTGCTTGCTCCTATGTGATCCCCAAGCAAGGCTGCAGAGTCAGATCTTTGAACCTTTCCAAAAGGCCAGGAGAGTGGGGGTCTGCCAACCCTCTGGGGAGAGAATGTTCCATAGGGTGGAGGAATGGCAGAGGAGGAGATTGGACAGCCATTTGTCTGAAATGGTATAGGGTTTCCTGCCTGAGCACCCAGTGAATTTAAAGAGCCAAGAATGAATTTGAGTCTGCATCTCTGCAGTTTCTTGCAACACATCGTGTTAGTTTTGAGTACTACCAATATTGTCTCTGGTGCTTGTCAGTATGACTTTTCAAGTTACTTAGAATCTATTGAAGTAGCACAGAAATTTCAGTAAACAAAGAAATGTGAAATAAAACAGACTACACAAATACTTATCATGTATTAAATCAAGACATATTTGAATAACAGAATAACAAATTGGAAGGGACCTTGGAGGTCTTCTACTCCAACCCACTGCTCAGGCAGGAAACCCATTTCAGACATATGGTTGTGCAATTTCTTCTTAAAAACTTCCAGTGTTGGAGCATTCACCGCTTCTGGAGGCAGGTTGTTTCACTGGTTAATTGTTCTAACTGTCAGGAAGTTTCTCCTTAGTTCCAGGTTGCTTCTCTCCTTGATTAGTTTCCTTCCATTGCTTCTTGTCCTGCCTTCAGGCGCTTTGGAGAATAGCTTGACCCACCTCCTCTTTGTGTCTATGGAAGACTACTATTAGGTCCTTCTTTTTGGGATCATTTGGTTAATGATCTATTCCAATTCTGCCCAACAAGATGCTTTTGTGGAATTGCATTGTTTGAATACAATAGCTATGGTTACCCATAACATTCACCACCTGATACGTTAACCATCCTGTCCTCTCTGACTTTCTTTCCTGCCCTCTCGAACCAAAACACTATAAATAATCCCCACAGAGAAGCTGTTCCAATTCCTAGGTCTTTTTTTTTTTTCATTTGCTCTCTTCTGCAGCTCCTCCAATCTCACAATGATATCCGGGGGGAAACCAGCAAATCAGCACACACAAAAATGGCAGGGCAGAAAACGACCACACGGCAAAAACAGACAGAGGAAGACAAGACCGCCCCCCCCCGTCATCGCGCGCCTGCCTGCCCCTGATGGGAACTGTAGTCCAGCACACACCTGGAAAACATTCAGACGGGGATGGTGGTCCCTCGCAACCGTTCATAAGCAGGCCAAAGGCCTACAAAGCCTAGCAAAGAAGCCACAACCGGACAAAGGGCGTCGTCTGTACGCCTTTTAAAAGATCGGGGAGGGGGGGCGGAAACACTTCCCGGCGACGGGGGAGGGAAAGCGGCGCTCCACCTGAGGGGCGAGACTCACCTGGCGCATCCTTGCTGCTCTCCATGGCTGCAGGCTGGCCCCTATCGCTTCTCCCACAATGCACTGCGGGCGGGTACTCACCCGGATGGGCCGGGAGGCAGGGCGGCGCGCTGCATTGTGGGAGAGGAGTAGACGCGCGTCCGCCACGCAAAGGAAAAAGCATGCCGGGTATTGTAGTCCGTAGACCTGCAGCGGCTGGAAAACGATCTCTCGGGGGAGTTTGAGAGTCTCTGGGAGACTATAATGCTACTGTTACATCCAAATTTCGAGTTTTATCTTGTCCAGGTATCTTATCCTGGAGCAGAGGGCAAGACAAGAAAGAAAGAATGGATGGAAACTAATCAAGGAGAGAGGCAACCTGGAATTGAGGACAAACTTCCTACCGGTAACAGTGTGGACAATTAATCAGTGGCTTGCCTTCAGAAGTTGTGGACGCTCCATCACTGGAGGCTTTTAAGAAGATGCTGAACAGCCATTTGTCTGAATTGGTGTTGGCCAGGGTCTCCTGCTTGACCTGGGGGCTGGACTAGAAGACCTCCCAGGTCCCTTCCAGCTCTATTCTGTCACATACCCGTCAGACGCTGTGTGGCACCGGCAAGAGGAAAAAAAAAATCGAGTAGTTCTCACTGGACTTGATAACCGACCGCAAAACTTCCCTTCGACTATTCTGAGCTTGACGAACTATATTTCTCATGATGCAAAAGGGGTTAAAGATCACTATTATTAAAGAGTGTCACATTTTTATTTTGAGATGTGTGCCCCCCTTCAAGTGGCCGCTTTCGAAATGACTTCTATGATCAAAAACATCACTCTTCATAACCATTAGAATCAAAGATCCAAGACTTTAACCATTATAAGCATTATAAAGCGAATGAGCGAACGCACTCTTCATTATTTGCTAAGGTTTTAAAAATAAGCTATGCACTTTTTTTTATTAACAGCCTTAAATCTGCAACACGCTTTTGGAAATTAAGGACCGGTGAAGTGAATGGAAATGGACAGGCAATCCCATGGAGGTGCAAGGTGTACTTTTGTTTTATACACATTGTTTTTTCAACGGGAAAAACAGATCTAGAAAGGGGAGGATCTGTTTCCTGACCTGGGAAAGAGAAGTGGGGATAAAGATTTTCCCGGAGAGTAGGATTCTTTGTCTCCCAACTCAGTCTCTCCAAGCGGGATGGTGGGTGGGTGGGGGTATGTGTGTGTGTAATAAGCCACCACCGTTTCTAGGACTCGCTTTCCCATCAAGCATTGCGAAGGCTGCGCCTGCGCAGTGAGTCTCTCAATTCCGCCTCGCAGCGACCTCCCGGTCCTTACGGAGGCCAAGCCAAGATGGCCGCCGTCGGGGCGTCGGGCGGCTCGACGGCGACGGCGGGCAACGGGGGCGGAGCGCAGGCTTCATCCTCCTCCTCCTCCGCTGCGACCACCACGACGGCTCCGGCGTCTTCCTCCACTCCTTCGTTGTCCTCCGCAGCCGGGGGAGCAGCAGCAGCTTCAGCCGCCTCGTCCGTAGCAGGACCCCAGCCCGCGGTGGGAGGAAGTGCCGGGCCCGGCTCGGGGGCGGCGCAACAGGCGGTGGTGCCCGGCGGGGCTGAGGCCACGGCAGGAGGGGGCGGCGGCGGCTCCGCTGGTTCCTCGTCGTCGGCGTCCTCCTCGTCCGGGGCCGGCGGCGCTCCGGTGTCGTCGGGGGCGTCCGAGTCGTGGTACGTGGCGCTGCTGGGCTTGGCCGAGCACTTCCGCACCTCTAGCCCGCCCAAGGTGCGGCTCTGCGTCCATTGCCTCCAGGCCGTGCTGCCCCGCAAGCCCCCCGCTCGGGTCGAAGCCCGCACCCACCTCCAGCTCGGCTCCGTCCTCTACCACCACACGCGCAACGGAGAGCAGGCCCGCGGGCATCTGGAGAAAGCGGTGCGTCCCGGGGACTGGGAAGGGAAATGGGGTGACCGGCGCCCCCTTCATAAGGCCGGAGGGAGGGAGGGCTGCCACGCTTGTCTACACGTGTGTGCATGTGGTCCCAGACAGGGAAGCAAGGTAGTCCTCGATTTGCGACCACAAGTGAGCCCCAAACTTCTGTTGCTAAGTGAGACGTTCGTTTGAACTCGGCCCCATTTTACCATCTTTCTTGCTACATTTGTTAAGTGAACCCCTTCAGTTGTTAATTTAGTATCAGGGTTGTTAAGTGAATTCGGCTTCCCCATTGACTTGGCTTGTCAGAAGGTCACAAAAGTTGATCACATGACCCCAGAACACTGTAACTGTCATAAGCTGTCATTCAGTTGCCAAGCATCTGAATTTTGATCACGTGACCATGGGAATGCTGCACTGGTCATAAGTCGCTTTTTTCAATGCTGTTGTAACTTTGAACTGTCACTAATGAATGGTTGTAAGTCAAGGACTACTTGCATTTGTATAGCCAGACTTGTACAATTTCCTGATGGTGAGAACACTTAACAAGTGGGACAACTTGCCTCCAGAAGTTGTGGGTGCTCCATCACTGGAGGCTTTTAAGAAGAGACTGGACAATCATTTGTCTGAAATGGTATAGAGCAGTGGTTCTCAACCTGTGGGTCGGGACCCCATTTGGGGTCAAACGACCATTTCACGGGGTTCGCCAAACAAGGCTGTCCGCCATTTTTTCCCCCTTTTCTTTGGCCATGCCCCTGGCACCCGGTGATGTATAAGTGGTTGGGGGTCACCACAACATGGGGAACTGTATTATGGGGTTGCGGCATTAGAAGGGTTGAGAACCACTGGTATAAAGTCTCCTGCATGAGCAAGGGTTGGACTAGAAGACCTCCCAAGGTCTCTTCCAACTCTATTATTCTGTGCAGGCCATCTCAGAGCTGAAACTGCTGCTGTCCAGATGTGCTGGACCTTCTCAGTCGTGGCCTCAGAGTGTGCAGTAGTTTCTCCTGACGCTCATTGACTGCCCATTATAGCATTTCCTATCCTCTTCCCCTGGGTCTTCCACCCTGCAGGGGAAGATGCTAGTTCCGTTCATGTTTTGATTCTGTTTTTCTTTTCATTCCTGTCCCTGACTTTCAAAATATTTCTTTTCTCATTAGATTTTTATCTTCCCTTTTGATCAGGAGTGCAAGGTTTTATATTTAGCACTCCTTTCTCCTACTTTTCCATTGAATGACAAATATGTTACCGTTGTGGAGTACTAACTACTAAACTTTTGCTCGTGCTGCATTTGAGATTATTATTAAGAGGCTTTGAGAATTCAAGTAACAAAAGTGACATATTTTAACTGGGAGTGATGTTGATTGTAGAGCAGCACATCTGGAAGATATCAGGTTGGGCAAGACAGTTCAAAATGAATCTGGCTTAGTGTTGATTGCTGCATAAAAAAGAAAACCCTAAGGAAGATTGTACAGTTTCTCTATTGTGCCACATATTGCTACATTGTTATAAACGGATGAGTTTGAGGTACAAAATGTTTTTCATTTTTTTTTGTCTACATGCATAACTGGATAGATTTTTAAGGCAGCTGTACAATAAACAAAAAAGAGGTTATAGCTAAAAAAAATATTTCTAGGTATTACGAAAGGAGGCAGGAGCTTTTCCCAAAAGTCTGGTGGAGGAGAATGCACAGCTCTTAAATGCAGACATTTGAAATAAGACAAGAGTAGAGTTGAAAAGAAAAGAAAATAACTTTTCTAGGAATAAAAGAGGGAAAATACGTAGGAACGCAGGAACTTTGTTTGTACAGGTAGTCCTTGACTTACAACAGTTCATTTAGTGACCCTTCAAAGTTACAATGGCACTGGAAAAAAGTGACTTGTGGCCATTTTTTCACATGACTTTTCTAGCATCCCCGTGATCATGTGATCAGAATTCAAACGCTTGGCAACTGGTTCATATTTATGACTGCTGCTGTGTCCCAAGATCATGTGATCGTCTTTTGCTACGCAACATCAATGGGGAAACCAGATTCACTTAACAACTGTGTTACCAACTTATCAACTGTAGTGATTCACTTAGAAAGGTCGTAAAATGGGGCAAAACTCACTTAACAAATGTCTCACTTAACAACAGAAATGTTGGGCTCAGTTGTCATAAGTCGAGGACTGCCTGTACTGAAATCAGACATCCATCTTGCATTGTAAGGTAACAATTGGAAGGGATCCCATTTCAGCCTCAGGGCTGCATTTCCTCCTGGATAATCACCCAAGGTGGCAAATGGCAGCAGTGGGCAGAATCAGTGTTCACAGTCTTAGAAACATCAGAGAAAGCTGATAGCCTCCCTTCCCAGAGCAGTTTGTAGCAGCATTCCTGCCTTCCACTCTCTCAGTTGTTTTCCAGCAATCAAGTGGAAGAGAAAAAAAATGAGAAAATCCAGGTGAATATGTATGTGTGTTGGCCTGCATAGTGACATCTTATAGGGTCCAGCTAATTTCCCATTCATAGTTTACACAGATTAGCAATGATTTTTCTGAATCAAGCCTGTCCACCCAAATTGGGAGTTTCCAGAATCTGAATATATCGAGGCTTCTGCTGAGCTTACATAGCCCGTTAAACAGATACAACATTTTAAGAGTGAACTTCAGCAGGCATAGGAAAAATGAAAAATGACTATTTCAAGGAATAAAAGAGTAAGTATGTTCAAGAAGATGGTGAGGGTAGAGTTCAGTTAACCAAGAATCGGTCTTTTCTAAGTTTTGAGACTGCGGGAAGAGTTCAGGAAGGGAAACGACAGTGCAGCACTGACACTTCACTGTGTCTTGACTGGCCACAAGCCATAATAAAAATTATTTGTTCATTTCTTGTATTTCAGAAATAACATTATTAACCGTTCCCTTTACAGATTGCTATAAATTCCATGGGAACGGGATTTCAGGAATTGCTAATTTCTCTCTCTCTTCTTTTTACAGTGGCTGATATCACAACAAGTATCCTTTTTTCTGGTCTCATGAAAACTGGAATGATCAATTATCAGTTAAACTTGTTTTGAAAGTTAACACCAACTCGGCCTGCTTGCCTGCTGCTCGTACAAGTGGGGATGCGCGCGCTCGCCCATCTCTTCTGCGGCTTGGTTCCGAAGGGCTCATGCACTGGTAGAGGCCACGGCCCAGGGATTTAAACATTTTAGGGCCTAAATTTGCTGAAATTATTCAGGCAGGCTGGAAAGGGGGGTTTGCATTACAGACAGGAGCACTGAGCAGTTATAGAGAGTGTAGAGTATAGAGAGGAAGGACGAGGGGGGACACGATAGCAGTGTTCCAATATCTCAGGGGCTGCCCCAAAGAAGAGGGAGTCAAGCTATTTTCCAAAGCACCTGAAGGCAGGACAAGAAGCAACAGGTGGAAACTAACCAAGGAGAGAAGCAACCTAGAACTAAGGAGAAACTTCCTGACAGAACAATTAACCAGTGGAACAACCTGCCTCCAGCAGCGGCGAATGCTCCAACACTGGAAGGTTTTAAGAAGAGACTGGACAGCCATTTGTCTGAAATGGTGTAGGGTTCCTGCCTGAGCAGGGAGTTGGACTTGATGACCTCCAAGGTCCCTTCCAACTTTTTTATTATTATTATTACTACTACTACTACTACTACTACTACTACTACTACTATTACTACTTGGCACGTCGTGCATTAAACACAGCACTGGATCTTTTCCAATTAAAAATGTCTATTGTTTTAACTTTTAACAGAAAGTGTTATTAGCTTAACATGGACACTACCAGATTCCGCAGTTCGAGGATGTCAAATTTGAAGCTGCCAGCCTCCTGTCTGAGTTGTACTGTCAAGAGGTAAGAAGGGCATGTTTTCTGTGCATTTCTTTAAATGCTAATATTTAATGGGTTTGATACACAAAGAATATATAAAACTTTCTTCCATATAAAATAAGAGCTAAGACGTTTTATCAGTCTTTGTTACCTGACTTATTTGCATGTCAGTAGCACTTCTGCTAAAAGGAACTAATCATATAGTGCAGGGGTAGGCAACCTTGGCTCTTTTATGACTCGTGGACTTCAAATCCCAGAATTCCCAAGCCAGCATGGCTGGTTCGGGAATTCTGGGATTTGAAGTCCACGAATCATAAAAGAGCCAAGGTTGCCTACCCCTGCTATAATATTTTTACAGCACTCTCTGGGTGGTTTACAACATCAGGCCTATTGCCCCCAACAATCTAATTCCTCATTTTATCGACCTTGGAAAGATGGAAGGCTGAGTGTCAACCTTGAACCGGTCAGGATCAAACTCCTGAGTATGGGCAGAGTTAGCCTGCAATACTGCATTCTAACCACTCTGCCGCCATGGCTCCTAACTTCTAATAAGTAGAATTAACATCTTGGTGCCCCTTTTGGGGAGCTTCTAGGTGTTAGGAGTTCAGAAGCAGATGTAAGTTTGTGTGAATGCACAATAACTCATAGAGTTTCCAGTCATCCATCTATGTTGACTATCCTTCTCTAGAAAGGCAAAACAATCCACCCAGTGCATCTGTCTGGAATGCATTTAACTGTAGATACCATGGACTGAATCCCTTTGCTGACTAATAAGCGCTTTGCTCCCGATCTTTAAACCTCTTCACACAGATTTTGCTATGGTTCGACATATGAAACTCTTCAAAGAACTTTGAGGCATTGTTTACCTTAAAGAATCTTTATTCAAGTAGCAACACATAGGCATGTACATAGTCCAAGCCAAAATCTGGCTTCCCTTCCCCTCAGCACATAGTATCAAAGCACAGTTTGCTCTTCTAACTAACAGTCATAAAACACATTCTCCAATTAGTTTGAAATGCTGGCTTTTCGCCCAGTTCTTCATCCTGGCCATGTCTTATCATCTCTTATTACAAACGGCCTTGGTTCTCACCCTTATACAGTATTGTTTTGCCTAACGAATCTCCCATGCACGTTGCTCCTCCTCCCTCCCAGTATCCTCTAATTCTAACTCTAAAAGTAAAACTTAAAGCAGTGTTTCTCAACCTTGACAATTTTAAGGCATGTGGACTTCAACTCCCAGAATTCTACAGCCAGCATTGCTGGCTGTGGAATTCTGGGAGTTGAAGTCCACATGCCTTAAAATTGTCAAGGTTGAGAAACACTGACTTAAAGTAAAGGGAAATGGATGCATTTCCATATGTTGTCAAAGCAAGAACATCCGATGTTAGCAGCGCTGACAGGTTTTACAGAAATGTATTCGCTAAAATGTATTTTGGGGAAAGGTGTGTCATTTCTGCAAAATTGTGCACCCTCCCATTAATAGAATGGTGTTCCATTTGCTTTACAAGGCATGACTTTTTCCGATTGACTTTGTGTTTGAGTCCCCCTCCTCCTCCTCCATCTCTGTATGATAATCTGATTTTTATTGTCCATACTTTTCAGAATTCTGTTGACACAGCAAAGCCCCTGCTGCGTAAAGCCATCCAGATTTCACAACAGACTCCTTACTGGCACTGTCGCCTTCTTTTTCAGCTTGCGGTAAGCTCAATTTCACTCTTCTCAAATGGTTTAAATTATAGCTAGTCCTCGCTTAACAAACTTAGTTGGGACTGGAATTTCCATCACTAAGTGAAGTGGTTATTAGGTGAAACATTGTGTGACTCCACTACTTAGCGACAGCTGTTAATGGTAGTCCCGATTGCAGGCTTTAGGTGAGGACCTCACACTTCTGCCCTGCTGTGCTGGCCTCTGCTTCAACTCCCCTCACCCACTTATCCTTCCTCATTGTTGCTCTTTTGGCCACCCTGTTCTCCGCTGCCTTCTGCTCCTGTTGTCCTCCACTGCCCTCAACTAACCTTATTGCCTTCCTCTTCCCATGGGTGATGAGATGTACCCTGCCAAGGCAACTGCTGATGCATAACTGTGGTTGTAAATGTGGACAGATTGCCAGGCATCCAAACTTTGATGACAGGACCATGCGGACGCTGCCACCGCTGTAATTTTGAGGACTGGATGTAACTACCATTTGTTCAGTACGGTTGTAACTTCGAATGGTCGCTGAACCAATGGTTGTTAAGCGAGGACTACCTGTAGGAAAAGCAGCATAGAGTTTGGGGTGATTCTACAGTATTTATAGATACGAGAGGGAAACACGTAAGAGAGATTCTGCGGTGTTAAAAGCTGCAAGGTTGAAGTTGCCACTGAGATGGAGAGTCCTTGTGGGAGAGACAAAACAAGCCTGAGTATCTGGCCCTCAAACAGCAGAAGATCAAGCAAGCAAGACTGCACTCAGCTCTGTAAATTAGTGTTACTACTATTTTTTAAAAATCTCTGTAGCCTTACGGGGGATGCCCAAAGCTGTTCATAAGACAGTAATAAAGAAAGCCTTCAAGAAAGGTGCAAAAAATCCAGCACTGCTTATAAATAGTAAATACAAAAAGTGAAACAAGATTCAGTGGCAGAGCTATGAATAGAATGGAAGAAAAGCAGTAGAAGAGAATTTAAAAGAGAGCTTTCTTCTGAAGTAGTTATTCCACAAATGCCTAGAAAGAAACCAAGTCGTCTTTTAATTCCCGAAAGAATTACCACATGGAGACCTTCTAAAATGATCTTAGGAAAATGTTCTGTAACTGGGATATCTTGTCCTTTGGTGCAAAGTTTCATAAGTGAGCAAGTGAGTGGTGGTGTCATGGTTCTGACAGATGAAACTCTTCAAAGAACTTTGAGGCATTGTTTACCTTAAAGAATCTTTATTCGAGTGGCATAGGGGTTGTACATAGCCAAAAGCTGGATTCCCCTCCCTTTAGCACATAGTATCAAACACAATTCCCTCGTCTAATTAACAGTCATAAATCACATTCTCCAATTAGTTTGAAATGCAGGCTTTCCCTCCTTTGCTCCAACCTGGCCATTTCTTATCTCTTATTTCAAAAGTCCTGAGTTCATACACTGTTACAATATTGTTATGTCTAACTAACTCCCATCACATTCCTCCTCCTCCCCCAGTATCATCTAATTCTAAGAGTAAAGCATAAGAAAGAAAAAGGCTGCATCTCCATATGTTGTCAAAGCAAGAACATCCAATATTAGCAGCGTTGACAGGTGGTTTATAAACTCAGTTCTAAGTATTGAAGCAGTAATGGCACCCTCATAGTGGGTCAAAATAAACAAAATTGCGGTTGCAGTATTGCAACCCAACTCCTACCCCTTTGTCCAGGTATATAGTGCCAGCACACAGACAAAAGGGGAGGAAGTTTTATTACAGTGCTGTGTCCAGCTTCCTGCCTGTCTTAAGATCCACCCACCTTACAGACTTTGGTCTGTGAGAGGAAGGTAAGTGGGGCGTTCTTGAAGAGGTCAGTTAAACTAGTGACTTTTTGCTTTGGGGTACCATTGCTTAATGAAAAATAAACGGGTTTGTGGCATCAACATCCACAGAGCAGGGGTGTGTCAAACTCGCAACATCACGTGATGTACCACGACATATCGTGACTTTTTTTCCATTGCCGGCAATGGGGTGGGTGCGGTTCTGGCATGACAAATCTGTCCTGCGGGCTGGCCATTTGACACCCCTGCCTTAGAGGTTTGCGAAATCTTGAAACATTTTGAGATTGGAAAGTCTTGTTGAAAATTTATTTATTTGAATCCCACCTTTATTATTTTTAAAAATAAAGGCATTCAACCTATGCAGCACACCTTCATCCTCCTCCTCCTCACCACCACCTACGAGGTGAGCTAGATTGAGAGAGACGGACTAGCCCAAGGTTATCCAGCCGCCTTTCATGACTAAGGCAGGATTTGAACACACGGTCTCCCGGTTTCTAGCCTGGTGCCTTCACCATCAGTAGATCAAACTCAAAATCGCACATTTTTGGCTGTCTGGACTCTGGACCATTTCAGAGCCATTTCAAGCTCATGTGTGTCCCTCTGTGTATTCCCCACTAGCAACTTCACACGCTTGAGAAAGATCTGGTATCCGCCTGTGACCTTTTGGGAGTTGGAGCAGAATACGCCCGCGTGGTAGGATCAGAATATACAAGGTGGGTGGATTTTTGAAAAGGGAAACAGGGAAAGGAAGCATGTTCTGTAGTCTTTTGCAGACTGAAATATTTTTAAAAGGTTTTATTAAAGTTTATCTTAATGTAAAATTCCAAGGAAAGTTAAAGGCAATAGGAAAAATGTGAAAGGAAAAAGAAGGGGAAAAAGATGTGAAAGGAAGGGAAAAGAGAAAAAAAAGTGATTCCACCTTTTTTGGATGCAGTAATTGCAAAGTCAAATTACAGTGTCAACTTTTTAGTTTCAATTAGTAACTTAGTCATTTCTATAGTAACAGCAAAGTAAACATGAAAAGTTACAGTTTCCTTCCCCCACTCCCAAAATATTTTTGATGCAGTTTTAGATATGAGAATTCGAGGCAAAATGAGAATACATTGTATTTCTGGGAGATCTCTACAGTGTTAGAATCTTAACAACTTTCCTTTCTTTTTCAGAGCACTGTTTCTACTAAGCAAAGGCATGGTAAGTTTTCTGGGGCTTAGACAAAAGAATATTTACTTATATATTACTTTAAAATCTGCAGTCTTGCTTTGTTTTCTTTATAAAAGCAATGGATAATAAATAGATTTTGATCTTGTAGACCAGTGTTTCTCAAACTTGGCAACTTCAACTCCCAGAATTCTCTAGTCAGCATGCTGGCTGGGGAATTCTAGGAGTTGAAGTCTACACATCTTCAAGTTGCTGAGATTGAGAAGCATTGATCTAGACTATTGATAGACATCCGCTGAAATGAGTAACAACATTGTGCTAACCCACACATCATTTCAAACGTGTGACTACCCTACCTATGTTTTATATTCATATATAAGTTTCCACATAGATATGTAATTCATATCCATGTGGAAACTTCTTGAGAACTTTTAAAATGCCTTGGAGAGTTTTAGAGAGGCAAACATGAAAAAGTAACTTTGTCTGTTGGTTTGGAATAATTAAGATTCCATGAATGTAGGATTTGGGGAGGTGATAATTACACTTGTTGCTGCCATTTTTACCATAGTGCTGGACTAAGCCAATCTCAGATTAATTTAGCAAATACATTTTATAATGTGTGGGTTAATTAGGCTTGCATCTGTTAAACAAAGGGTGGCTAGTTTTGGAGTGGCTAGAGCAGGGGTAGGCAATCTTGGCTCTTTTATGATTCGTGGACTTCAACTCCCAGAATTCCTGAGCCAGCCACGCTGAGGGGACAGGGAGAGGTTTCCAAGCTGAGCCATGCTGGCTCAGGAATTCTGGAAGTTGAAGTCCACGAGTCATAAAAGAGCCAAGGTTGCCTACCCCTGGGTTAGAGGCTGCATTTAACTGCTTCAGAGAACAGGCGACTTGTAGGTTAAGTAATGGGATAAAATTTGCATATAATTTTGAAAATATTTTTTCTGGGGTTTTTTTCAGACGTTTGTTTTTTTTTTAGGTCATCTTTAAAATTTTCTAGACTACTTGAAGACTTAAGTTACAGTTTATATACATTCTGCTTCAGAATGATAGGAAGTCACACTGCTGGTTTGGGACAACTGTGCCGTGAGTTTTTAATAGCGCAAACAGAAACGTCCCTGGAAGCCACAACAAGGTGCAGATCTCGGGTCTCCAAACTGATCAACTTTCAGACTTGTGGACTTCAACTCCTAGAATTCCTCAGCCAGCCTGACTGGCTGAGGAATTCTGGGAGTTGAAGTCCACAAGTCTGAAAGTTGACCAGTTTGGAGATGCCTGGTGTACATCGTCTTCTCATTTCTTAAATGATCCTGAGAATAACAGAGATGGACCCCCAGGGATTGAATCAGTGTTAGAAAGTGTCGTTTAAAGCTCTAAAATGAGTATAATACCAAGTATAGTGTGTATAAATCAATTGTAAGCGATTGGCATGGAAGGTATAAATTATAATGCTAAGTTTGGTGTTGCACATACAGGAGAACCACTGAGAAAAAGCCATCTTGGAACCTGTAGTTGAGTTTTTACCTATTTCCGTTCTAATTGGGCTACCTTAACTTATTTTCGACGTCGTTATTTTTGGTATGTTCTTTGGGGTTATCTCGAAATGACGAGAAGCCAAGTTAAGCACGGAACTGAGGACTTAGAAATAACTCTCCTTCCCACATTTAAAACAGGTAGTCCTCAACTTACAGCCATTCATTTAGTGACCATTCAGAGTTACAACAGCACTGAAAAAAGTGACTAATGACCATTTCTCACACACTGACAACTGTTGCAGCATCCCCATGATCACATGATCAAAATTCAACCACTGGGCATCTGGCTCATATTTATGACAATTGCTGCGTTCCAGACTCATGTCATTCCCCCTTTGTGACTTTCTGACAAGCAGAGTCAGTGAGGGAGGAAGCCAGTTCCACTTAACCACCCTGTGTTACTAACCTAATAACTTCAATATTGGCTTAACAAGTTTGTGGCGAGGAAGGTTGTAAAATGGGGCAAAGCTCACTTGACGTCACTCTTGCTTAGCGAGAGAAATTTGGGGCTCGGTTGTGGTTGCAAGTCGAGGGCTACCTGTGCTACCTTTTTGTTTTTCTCCTTCACTTGAGAAGATAAATCCAAGACTAAGGAAGCCTGAAGCTGGAGCAGAGGCGCTTATCAAGCGTTCTGAAACTTCAAGTCATTTCTTTCCTTGTTCCTTTCTCCTGGATAGCTGCTCCTCATGGAGAGGAAACTGCAGGAGGTGCATCCGCTGCTTACGCTGTGCGGGCAGATCGTTGAGAACTGGCAAGGGAATCCCATCCAGAAAGAGTCATTGCGGGTCTTCTTCTTGGTCCTCCAGGTGACGCATTACCTGGATGCTGGTCAGGTCAGTGGAAACAGTTCAGGGGACCTTCCATGATAGAAGATTCTTGCTCACAACCTAAGAGCAGGTAGTCCTCGACTTACAGTCGTAGTGGAGCCTCCCCTTTACAGCCCTAAATCTGCGGTGGGTGTAAAGTGGATCACCCACGTGACCGATCCAGTTTTATGATCTCTCTTTTTTTGTGTGTGGCGGTTGTACAGTAGTCACAAAGGAAATGAGTCCCAACCACTATCTGGCCTGGAAAATCTGGTTGTAGCTTGTTGTAATTGTAAATCAAGGCACCAGTGTGACCGGACCTTTTTTTATTTTTGACGTTTTTCATGGCGGTCATTAAATGAAAGATGTGATTGTTAAGTGAACCCATGAGTCCTAGTGGGTGGGGGTTTTTTTGGCCGGAAACCAGCAAAAAACGTCGCAAATCGGTGTCCTGCAACCGCAGGATGCTGCAACCGATCGTCAAGGTAAGCAGGTTGCCAAGCCCTCAAAATGTGATCTTTTGATTGCTACGGGGGGGGGGGCACATTTTACGACGGCTAGAGGTACTTTATGGGCCATAGAGCACCTGTTATGAGGCCGTTGTAATGCCAAACAGTTGTAAAACAACAAGTCATAAGTCGAGGACTACTCTAGAATGGAATTGCAGAGCAAATCTATGAAGGAACAATGAGTGGAAGAAGATAAAAAAAACGAATGTAAGCTTGACAGGTATCTTCAGAGATCTTTAATGTCCCATCATTAGAGAAGATGAATGGAGAAGAAGACAACAGCCGTCAAAATGTATGGTTGACCTAGGTCAGGGGTGGGCAACCTTGGCTCTTTTATGATTGGTGGACTTCAACTCCCAGAATTCCTGAGCCAGCCTTGCTGGCTCAGGAATTCTGGGAGTGAAGTCCACCAGTCATAAAAGAGCCAAGGTTGCCCACCCCTGACCTAGGAAGTATGGCGCCTTTGATTTGGGCGTCACGTTTGGTTTTGACTTTGCTCCTCAGGTGAAGAGTGTCAAGCCATGTCTAAAGCAGCTGCAGCAATGCATCCAGACCATCTCAACTCTTCACGATGATGAGATCCTGCCCAGCAACCCTGCAGACCTCTTCCATTGGCTGCCCAAGGAGCACATGTGTGTGCTGGTTTACCTGGTGAGATGCTGCATCTGATCTTGCCAAAATAAGTTAATGCACCGATCCATCCAACGGGGGCTTTTCAGGATCAGGGGCCGAGGAAATAGTCCTTTCCACATAAAGAAGGAGCTCCCTATTTCTCCTTTAACCTCATCGTGGCAATATCCCAATCGCATCGCACTCCTGTCTGAAGCACTGAGGTGCTTCCGGGTTGAAAGGATGAGCTGATGACATTACCGTTGCCTGGGGGGACACCCAGTTGGGGGCTTCATTCATGTCCCCAGCAGGAGCTGGAGCAAAAGGACAGGAGCTCACCCTGTCCCACAGCAGCCCTCAGGTCTCAAACGCAGGCTTGCTAACTTCCAACCCAGCGTCCTAACCACAGGACCCAGAGTGCTCCTCTAGTATCCTAATTATAATTTCAGTAGCTAGCAGTGTGGGGGTGCATTACTGGCTTTCCTTTCCTCTGGGTGATTTTGGTTTTTGTTTAGAATGTATTCCAAATAATTGATGCCTTCTGTTTAATTACCAACATTTCTAGGCAGCAATGTGGTGAGAAAGACCTCAATGTGTGGCTTTGGAAAGCCACCACTCACATTAACAGACAATACTGAGCTGAATGGGCTTACAAGATGGCATGGTTTCCCAAGAGCATCATAACTCATTGATAGAGTCCTTTCTTTCCTTGCAGAAATGTCCCAGTTTTAGTCCCTCGACTTTCAGCTAACGGAATGTTTAATAGTACAGGGGTTTTACTTCTGGAGACTTTGGGGAGTTGTTACCATCAAATATTGTCAGCATTGGCTAGATTGGGGGTGTCCAACTGTGGCCACTTTAAGACTTGTGGACTGCTAATCCCACAATTCTCCAGCCAGTATGGCTGGCTGGGGCATTCTGGAAGTTGAAGCTCGTAAGTCTTAAAGTGGCCACGGTTGGACACCGCTGGACTAGAGATGGTCTAATGGAATAACCCAGAGATCCCCAACTTTTTGGGCACCAGGGACCAGTTATGTGGAGAGAGGTTTTTCTGTGGACTGGAAGGGGCGTGGTTTCATGTGCTGCCTGCATCCCACGGGTGGGGCTTTGCTTGTTTGTGTGGCCCGGTTGCTGGCATGCTGCAGCCCAGTACTGGTCCATGAACTGGGGGGGGTTGTTGGGGACCCTTGATCTAACCTTTAGATATCAGGAATTCTGAGATAGTGGTTTGGAAACAGTTTTCTGGATTTTAGCTTGAAACTGAAAGAGATGAAAATGTAACCTTGGGATTTGATGAGTGGAACTGTTTTTAAGTTCAGAAATATTTTGTGATATAGTTTATTCTACTTGCAATTCATGTTTGTATCTGTACTAGAGAAAGTCGGAAGTTAACCTTTTGTCCTTTTCTCTTTGTACCACCCAATTTTGTTTTTCCTGCTTTCCCCTTTCTTTTTCTTTTTAAACCATTTAAACCATCTCCTCCTCCTCCTCCTCCTCCTCCTCCTCCTCCTCCTCCTCCTCCTCCTCCTCCTCTTCTTTTGAAATTCGATAAAGCTTTATTTTGTTTTATTAACAAAAATCACCCTGTAATATTAGTAAAGGCATAGCTTTCTGTTTTTTGTACATTAATTGTATCTTTGGTGAGAAGGCTTTTTCAGTGAGGACAATTTGGCAGTGCCATGTGCCCTGTTGTAAGGAAGATGAATGTGCCTGTTGTAATTGCCCAGGTGGCGTGTCAGCATGGGCACTCACAGTGTTGCTAACTGCATGTTATATCATTTAGAACTCTGTCCTATCTTTGTTTTTCATGTAAAACTAGTAATGTTAATTTGCAGCTGGGAGAGCATTGAAGCAATTTGTTTCGGGATTGCAAAACGATCTGCAAAACAAATGTGGGGTTTTTTTTTTTGCCAGGTGACTGTGATGCATTCGATGCAGGCTGGATATTTGGAGAAGGCCCAGAAATACACCGACAAAGCCCTGATGCAACTAGAAAAACTCAAAAGTGAGCAGAATAAACTTCTTTGGTGTGTGTTTTCACAGAGATTCTGTTCTTGAACGCCCCGACTTGCATGCTTCATTTCTCTCTATTTTCCCTTTTACATTTATTGTTGCTTTTTCAGACTACTAATGTCCTTTTTCAGGACCAGTGATAGGTCATCTCCTAAACGCTGTTCTTGGTTTTGGCTCATTCAGACTTGCATAATTAGCCAAGATCTTTTCTGAACTTAAGGAAAGGAACCAATATCACTTTGCTTTTCAGTTTAGCAATGCCAGAAAGAACCACCTGATTCTTGTGGTAGGATCTTTTTGGGCATATGACTTCTACCTTGCACTGAGGGAAGGATAGGATAGGGGATGTTTTTGCCAAGCCTGAGCTTTAGCAAAATGCCCCATGTTCCCAAGATTTTTGAGCCCTTGCTTTTATAAGCTAAAATATTACTGCCCGCTTCAGAAAAACAGTTTTGACTTACGACCGTAATGCAGCCTGCCCATTATGGTCATAAGTCACAACAGTTATAAAGCGGGTCATCACATTCACCGACCCGATTTTACAACCCTTTGTGTGGTGCTTCTCAAGCAAACGCCAGAAGTAAAGGCTGGTTTGGGGCTAAAAAAGTCATAAATTGCGGTCACGCAACCATGGGACCATGGCTGAGCACCAAAGAATTGAGGCCTTTGAGCTATTGTGCTGGAGAAGACTCCTGCGAGTCCTCTGGACTGCAAGGCGATCCAAACGGTCAGTCCTAGAGGAGATCAACCCCGACTGCTCTTTAGAAGGCCAGATCCTGAAGTTGAAACTCAAATACTTTGGCCACCTAATGAGAAGGAAGGACTCACTGGAGAAGAGCCTAATGCTGGGAAAGATTGAGGGCAATAGAAGAAGGGGACGACAGAGAATGAGGTGGCTGGATGGAGTCACTGAAGCACTAGGTGTGAGTTTAAATGGACTCCAGAAGATGGTAGAGGACAAGAAGGCCTGGAGGAATGTTGTCCATGGGGTCGCGATCGGTCGGACACGACTTCGCAATTAACAACAACAAAACCATGGGACACTGCAAATGGCCACAAATTTAGGCCAGTTGCTGAGTACCCAAAATTGGTCACATAATTGTGTGAGAATGGGGAGATTGGATGTCAGAACTTCCGAACTAGGTTGTAAATACCTTTTTGAGGGGTGTCTGTCCTAACTTCGAACAGCCGCTAAGCAACCAGTCTTAAGTCGACAACATTCAGCTTGGCTGAGCTGTTCCTTTTCTCCTTTTTCTTTTCTTTTCCTGAACCACATCATTTCTTTCCTTCCAGTGCTCGACTGCAGCCCCATCTTATCATCTTTCCAAGTCATCTTGTTGGAACATATCATCATGTGCCGGCTGGTCACAGGGCACAAAGCTACAGCCCTGCAAGAGGTAAAGACTTGCATTGCTTTTAGGGCAGGGATTCTCAACCTTGGCCATTTTAAGGCCTGTGGACTTCAACTCCCAGAATTCCTTAGCCAGCCATAGTTGGGAAACACTGCTTTAGGGTATTTGGTGTCCTTTGGAACTGCTGCTGGTGGTGGTGGTAGTGGTGGTGGTAAAAGATGGATGGAGACTCGGATGAAATCACCACTCTTTGTGGTTGTTGAAAAAGAGATAGTCTTGGAAGCCTTGGAATGTCACTGCCACAATTATTCTGTCAGGCAATTTCTCCTTAGTTCTAGGTTGCTTCTCTCCTTGGTTAGTTCCATCCGTTGCTTCTTGTCCTGCCTTCAGGTGCTTTGGAGAATAGCTTGACTTTCTCTCCTTTGTGGCAGCCCAGTACATATTGAATCACTGCTATTAGGACTAGGGTTGACATGATAGCAGTGTTCCAATATCTCAGGGGCTGCCACAAAGAAAAGAGGGCCAACTTATTCTCCAAAGCACCTGAAGGCAGGACAAGAAGCAATGGGTGGAAACTAAGCATGAGAGAAGCAACAGAGGTGGCGCAGCAGTTAGAGTGCAGTACTGCAGGCCACTTTAGCTGACTGTGTTCAGCAGGTCAGCGGTTCAAATCTCACCGGCTCAAGGTTGACTCAGCCTTCCATCCTTCTGAGGTAGGTAAAATGAGGACCCAGATTGTTGGGGGCAATGTAAATATATATATACATTGCTTACTGATGTACACCGCTTAGAGAGTGCTTGCACTTAAAGCGGTATATAAGTCTCATTCATAAATAAATAAATAAAAACCTAGAACTAAGGAGAAATTTCCTGACAGTTAGAAAATTAACCAGTGGAAAAAGCTGCCTCCAGAAGTTGTGGGTGCTTCAACACTGGAACTTTTTAAGACGAGACTGGACAACCATTTGTCTGAAATGGTATAGGGGTCTCCTGCTTGAGCAGGGGGTTCGACTGGAAGACTTTCAAGGTCCCTTCCAACTTCCAACTTATTCTGAGAGCATCCAAGAGCCATGAATGGGCTTATTCTGGCCATTTTCAGCATTGCAAATTATAGGTAGCTTTTGTAAAGCATGGTGAAATGAAATGAAAGCTGGCCAAAGTCCCCCAGTGAAGCTTTACCTGATACGTTTTCTACTTGAGGAGGCGGGATGTTGCAGCATCAGGAAAGCGATTTTACAAAATAATTAAGCAATCCCCAAAGTGCAACTGGAGTCAGCAGTTGTGTCAGAAAAGAGGAAGGCAAAGAAAGGAAGTGAACCTTTCTAGGCCGGGTAAGTCAGAAGCATCGTTGAGAATCACCTAGGATATTTAAGTCATGTTCTCTTCTGTTTACGCCAAGATTTCACAGGTATGCCAGCTCTGTCAGCAATCTCCCAGGCTGTTCTCTAATCATGCTGCTCAGTTACATGCTCTTCTGGTGAGTATAACTGCCCAGTTCCTGAAGTATACCACGATGCCTGTAAATCTAGATTTTCATGAACCTGTAGAATTTTATTCAGTGTGGGGAAACTGGAGTTCCCTTCATTGAAAAGCTGCCAGTTTTCAAACAAATGGAGCCCCACAACGCTTTAGAAACAAGTACAGGCTGTCCTTGACTTACGACAGGGGTCTTCAAACTTGGCCCTTTTATGACTTGTGGACTTCAACTCCCAGAATTCCTCAGCCAGGCACCTGTGCCTGGCTGAGGAATTCTGGGAGTTGAAGTCCACAAGTCATAAAAGGGCCAAGTTTGGAGACCCTTGACTTACGATCACAACGGGGACCAGAATGTCTATTGCTAAGCAAGGCAGCTGTTAAGTGAGTCACACCCGATTTTACGAACTTTTTTTTTTTTTTTGCCATGGTCGCTAAGCAAATCACTGCAATTAAGTGAATCATGCCATCCTTAAGCAAATGCAGCTTTCCTCATTGGCTTTGCTTGCCTGAAGGTCCCAGATGGCAATCCCATGAGGCTGGGATGGTACAGCATGGTAAATACTTGCTGGTTGCCCAGCGCCTGAATTTTGATCATGTGACTGGGTGTGTGTGCTACAACGATTGTAAGTGCAAGATGGGTTGTAAGTCACTCTTTTCAGTGCTGTTGTAACTTTGAACAGTCACTAAACAAATGCTTGTAAGTCAATGGCTACCTGTACCTTCATTGAGCAATTCAGTTGTCCCAGCATAAACAGGAGAGAAAGAGCTTCTTAACTTGACTATTCCTCCCGTTTTCTAAGAGCTTGGCCTTGCGGTGAATTTGTTGAAATTCTTTCAGTTTTCATAGATTGGGTGGACAACCATGGCCCTTTTATGACTTGTGGATTTCAACTCCCAGAATTCCTGAGCCAGGATGGTTCCCCACTCCTACTATAGATGAAGAGGGCCTTCAATAAATCCTCCTTAATCCATGTGAGCAGGGATTTAGGTGGACAGTTTTCCCCAGTTATCTGTGCTATGTGTACATGCAGAAGCAACATTTCTATTGAGATTATTTCGAAAATGCTCAAGTTTCCTCTCAAGTCAAGAGGATGAGCTTGAAATGAAGTTGAGGATAAGGTTAAAAGGCTGGGAATAGGAAAATTCAGATTAATATCATGAATGTTCATTGAAGTTATGTAAAGAAGAAGAAACAGATATGAACTGCTGTAATGAACTCTATTGAAGGCCAACACTGACAACAGAAGGATTTAAATGAAATATTTATGTGGAGAAAAAAGTAGGGCAATATCATTCCGAAGCTTAATGCCATGTTACAAAGAGAAGGAATATGTTTATTTCTCTTCTGGAATTTCTGCTGCATTCCCAGGTGGGAAGAGAAGTTAGATTCATATCTGCTAAAGCATACAGGTAGTCCTCAACTTACGAACACAATTGAGCCCAAAATTTCTGTTGCTAAGTGAGACATTTTGTTAAGTGAGTTTTACCCCATTTTATGACCTTTCTTGCCACAGTTGTTAAGTGAATCGCTGCAGTTGATAAGTTAGTAACCTGGTTATTAAGCGAATCTGACTTCTCCATTGACTTTGCCTATTAGAAAGTCACAAAAGGTGACCACATGATCCTGGGACACTGCAACCGTCATAAATAGGAGTCAGTTGACATGAATTTTTATCATGTGACCATGGGGGTGCTGCCATGGTTGTTAAGTGTGAACAGCAGTCATAATTCGCTTTTTTCATTGCCATTGTAACTTTGAACATTCAGTAAATGAACTGTGGTAAGTTGAGGATTACTTGTAGTGAACTGTGAATATACTGTAGATCAGGGGTCTTCAAACTTGGCCCTTTTATGACTTGTGGACTTCAACTCTCAGAATTGAGGAATTCTGGGAATTGAAGTCCACAAGTCATAAAAGGGCCAAGTTTGAAGATCCCTGCTGTAGATCTATACTGGGAACAAAAATCTACACACCATGTACACTTTCCACCCTCCCTCCCCCACATTTTCTTAATTACCAAAATATCTTTTCTTTATCCCTGCTGTTTTCCATTGAAGGGGCTGTACTGCATTTCTGTGAACTGCATGGACAACGCAGAAGCGCAGTTTACCACAGCACTTCGGGTAAGGTTGCACTCAGTATGGCAGGGGATGTCAAACTGGTAGCCCCTGGGCCAGATAAGTTACGTGCAGGCCACGCCCACCTTGGCTCTGCTGAGGCAAAAAACCGTCGCAATACGTCACGTGACGTGATCGAGTTTGACACCCGTGCAGCATGGCTTTCTTCTTTTGTTTTGTGCTTGTGGGTAGAAGTCTCCCTTTCAAATAATAGAGTTAATTAAGCAACTTGGAAGGCTCCTATTGCTGTGAGCTATACAGACAGTCCTTGGCTTAGAGCCATAACTGGGACTGGAATTTTGGTTGTAAGTCATAGTGGTTGTTAAGTGGAAGCATCCATGTGATCGGACCTGATTTCTCAGCTCTTTTTATGGCATTTAAGTGAATCACATGGATGTAAGTTGAACCTTGCAATTGTTAAGCAAATACACTCCGAATGGGCATTGTTTGCCAGAAATGGGCAAAATAAATAGCAAATCTCAGGCACATGACCCTGGGAAGCAAGCTGCAACTGGTCATAAATGCCCAGCTGGTTGCCAAGTCCTTAAAATGTGCTTATGTAGCCATAAGGGAGCAGCACAACGTTTTACAATGGCTGGAGGTATTTTACAGGCTATAAATCATCCTTTCCAAGGATGTTGTAACTCCAAATGGTTGTTAAACGACCAGGCGTAGGTTGAGGACTACCCTGTAAGAAGGGGGAAGTGCTTTAACCTTTTTTTTTTTGTTATATATCTGTTTTCTGTGCTGTAGCTCACCACCCATCAGGAATTGTGGGCTTTTATCGTGACGAACTTGGCAAGTGTCTATATCAGGGAAGGAAACCGGCATCAAGAGGTAAGTGTCTTGGCTGCAGTATTGGGCTGTAAGTGAAATGTGAACATTTGGCTGCATCATATAGAGCAGGGTTTTTCAACCTTTTCACCCATTGTACCACTTTTAGGATATGGCAATATCCAAGTACCACCAGTCGCCTAGCAAGATGTCAAAAACTTGATGACCAAAAAAAAAAAAAAAAAGGAAAAAAGTGATAAAGTACAGGTAGTCCTTGACTTACAACAGTTCGCTTAATAACTGTTCAAAGTTACAATGGCACTGAAAAAAGTGCTCCCCAAGCCACAGCCGAGCAAGATACCTGCCTGCCCACCCGGCAGCGCTCTTCCTCCTGTCCGAGGTTTTCATTGTTGTGAGCATTTCTGTTGAGGATTGGCAGTGGGGATGGAGTGGGGGTTGTTTGGTTTTTATTTCCCCCATCTGCTGGGTGGTGGCAGCAGGTTTTGGTCACTTCACATGACCCTGGGACACTGTGACCATCATAAATATGAATCAATTGCCAAGCATCTGAATGTAAACCACAAGACCCTGGAGATGCTGCAACATTCCAGCTGATCAGCGCTTCTTGTGGGCTCAGCAGAAGCACCAGGATCAGCGCCGAGCTCCAGCTGGAGCCTGGTGCTGATCCTGGTGCTTCCACTGAGCCCTGACAGACCTGCAGCTCCAGCCATCTCTCGCTCAGGCTTGTGTGTTGCTGCACCAGTTCAGCTCATTCCATTCCCCCGCTACCACTTTTCTAGGATAGTCGCGTACCACCTGCCAGGTGCCAATGTACCACAGGTGGTACTCGTACCACTGGTTGAAAAGCCCTGATATAGAGCATACTTTGTTTTTAAAAAGTCATTTCAAGGTATTCTGTAAACAGAATCTTATGCTTTAATGTCTTTTCCTACACTTAGGTGTTCTTATGTCTTTTGTCTTCTTCTAAACTACAGCTCAGAGAACAGTTCCAAATTTGCATTCGTGCGGCTTAGAATTTAGTACATTGTTTAGTTGCGAATAGAATGTTTTTATTTTATTTGCACAGAATATGAATCATGTGAAATCATCAGAAGCCAGGCAGGCTGGTTTGTAAATGTGGAAATCCTTTCAGTTTGTACAAATAGTCTGAACTGTATCTGAGAGAGAATTTTTGGCTTTCTCAGACAACATCTAAGTCCAGGAAGCCTTGAAGAATGTTCACACGATAAACACTCAGTTATACAGGACTGCCTTTGTCCTGTATAACTGTAAACATGATTTTAAAAACTAACTAACTTTCTGATGTCTTCCTCCTCTCCAGCTTTATAGCTTACTGGAAAGAATAAACCCAGACCACAATTTTCCGGTGAGGTAAGTGAATCAGTAATTCCCATTACAATATAATATTATGTAAGCCATATAAAGCCATTATATTGGATGGCTTGAAATGATTCTTTGACATCAGCAGTGCTTTTAACTCTTGTAGGACTCTGGTGAACTCTCTTATTTCATGACAACATTTTTATATGCCTGGAATTCAGATAGGCAATTTGATCACCAACAACAGTAACCGATAGTGGCCCCAATGGACATTTAAAACAATATAGTATGCCTTGTCAGTCTGCACTTCGATCCCTGTTCCTTTTTTTTAGTTTATTAATTACATTTACATCCTGTTTTTCAAAGAACAGAAGTGACATACACATTCTGGTATGAATAAGGAAAGAATAAAACTGAAAACCTGAATAACCTGAAACAATAAAACACTATTGTTTTATATAGCACATAATCTGAACGATTGTGTTTAAATGTGGTGCTTCATAGTCAAAACTGAGAGACTGTTCTCCCTGGTGGAAGACTTTCTGAATAGGCCTTTGAAACTGACCTCAGGGCTTGGATAGCTTCAGATTTTTAAGACACGCTAAAGCAAAAGAGATAATGAGTAATTTGACAGGAAGGTTGTGTGACAGTTGCAGTTCATTATTCTCATCTCTCTACAAGTCCTCTGCTCTTTAAAGAGAAAAGTAATAGAGGCAGACTGTGTTAAACAGTACATCATCAGTCAGGCTACAGACCTTGAAACCCATCAATTTTTGCCTCCATTCCAAGTTTTTCAAAACTTTTGTGACCTCAAAACAAATCTGTTCCAATTTTCTGGGCAGTTCTATTTAAGGTTGAACTAGTTTAGCAGCCCCCAGACCATACGTAGTACGTACGTACACACATACATAAGGGGTCCTTGGTACATTGATGATCTTACCTAGATTGGATAATGAAACATCTACAAGAAAACAAACAAGCTCAGAGAGCACCAAGGACCCCTCATGTCAACCCCGAGCTACAAATATTCCCCTTGATTAATACATACATACATTCAATGTCAAATTTATGTGGCTGTCCATCTTATAAAAAGTGACTATGGGAGGCACTTAGGAAAATGATAAAACAATAAACATAATTATAAAAAAAAACCATTCGGCTTCCAGCACAGAACATCCCCTGAAATTATTTGCTAGGAGATTAAAAGGTTTCACATAGAATGTTTTATTCTATTTGTTCCATATATGCATATAGATGTGGAGGGCTAATCCCTCTGGAGAGGCAGAGAAGCATAGAAATCGGGCTTCAGCTACTATTCCCATTCAGCTTGAGAAAAGCAATGCCATTGCCACAAGGGGCAAAGAAAGAGTGGACATGAGGAAGGGAAATAGATGACAGGAGCCAGAGTGGGCCAGTTGCCTCTTTTAGAAATAGGCTATGAGGCTAAGGGACACTATAGAGTGCCCAGCCTTTTTTGGTTGGTGGACTGGAGGGGAAGGAAGGGGGAAGCATTTTATGCGCATGCACACACAAATGGGGCCGTGAGCATGAGCAACGCAAATGGGACAGTACTAGTGTCCACGTGACACTAGCACTGCCCTGTTTTTGTTGCGCAAACGCTAGCACCTCCCCGTTTTCGCCACACAATGCCCCGGTTTTTGCCATGTGGCGCCCCGTTTTTACCATGCAGCGCCCTGTTTTTGCCACGCAGGACCCTGTTTTCACCATGCGATGCCCCATTTGCATAGCGGCAGCGGCGCTAGCGCGAGTGGGGGTGAGCACATGCGCACTTATGTGTGCACTGACCAGCCTGTTCCACGGCCCACTGGCCAGCAGGCCACGGACCGGGAGTGGGCCGTGGCCCACAGGTTGGGGGATGCCTGCTCTAGAGAGATTTCCTTTAGTGCCATCAGCGGCTTATGGGCAGCACCCTGCCTTGTCTAGGCTGATGCTGTATGAAGACTCAGCCAGCTTAGTTTCATGAGGGATTTGATGTAATGTTGATAGCAGGTTGTGATAGGTAATCTATGTGTTGATAAGAGAGATTCCGTAAAGATGATCTCATTGAACCAACAAATATGGCTAATTTTTGCCTGGCCTTCCCCTTACATGTATCAATTCAATAGGAATCCATATTCCTAAATCCAGCACTTTATAGATATTTTGTAGAACGATGGCCTACCTTTTGTGGGCCAGTCTTGACAATAATGTTTGAAAGTAAAGTCTAAATCAGGGGTAGGCAACCTTGGCTCTTTTATGACTTGTGGACTTCAGCTCCCAGAATTCCTGAGCCAGCCATGCTGGCTCAGGAATTCTGGGAGCTGAAGTCCACAAGTCATAAAAGAGCCAAGGTTGCCTACCTCTGGTCTAAATACTTTGAATAACAGATCAGTTGATAGAGGTTCACTGGTAACATACAATTGGCCAGTTGGAATGCGTGATTTCCCCCCTTGGGCTGTTAATGCTTGCTTACTTGCCTCTGTGTCTACTCTGTCTCCAGCTCTCACTGTCTTCGAGCTGCTGCTTTCTACATCCGAGGGCTGTTCTCCTTCTTTCAAGGAAGGTACAACGAAGCCAAGTGAGTCACAAAGCATTTCCTCTTTTTGATGAAAAGACAGGTCAAAAGCGGGATTCTGCTCAGTTGCACTGCTATTTGATAAGACCTAAATACTCTGTTAAGACTCTGCTTTACCTAAGCAGAAAGCTGCCTTTTTGTACTGAATCATCTGAATGAGCGCTGTCCCCTTGTCAAGTTATCTGTATGGTTGCCAGGTAGTCCCCCCTTTCCCTACTCTATCATCTTGAGAACTTCCCCAGTCTTAGCATACTAGTAGTGGCCAAAATTGTGGAAACCTTTTTGGAAAAGTGTACAGTAGAAATGCCACTTTTGGTTAAGTTTCCACCATTTTTTCTTCTAATTTCTTTATCATTGTAGTGTTGTTCACTTAATACTACTATTTTACATCGCTTTCTGGGCAACCAGTCAACTCTTTGCACCATTACTTTAATTTTATTACATTTTACAAGCTCACTAAATGAAAGAACATAAAAAAAACCCAACAAACTGGATAGCAATCACATAACACATTGACAAACGTCCTCCTCTCCGCTTCAATACATGACATCAATAACTGAATCCTACTGTGATCTGATTGGCTCATTGCCAAAACAAGATGACACCCGATTGGCTCTCTAAACACTCATGCTCATTGGCTACAATCAGATGAAGGAAAGCTACCTGGTATCAACCTAAGCAAGTTGTGCTTCCTTTTTCTGGTTATTTGGCTATAACTTTTCATAGACTACAGTACAGATAATTGAACAAACTATGTTGCATTACATTCTTGATTAAATTATCTTTCCATCGATATATAGTTTTATGGCACTACTCCAGAAAAAGTGGTGTTATTAGCCATCAAACCTCAAAAATACACTTTTCTCAAAAGGTTTCCACAGTTTTGGCCATTACTGTTTGGTAGTCCTTGACTTATGATCACAATTGAGCCCAAAATTTCTCTTGCTAAGCCAGACAGTTGTTAAGAGTGTTTTGTCCCATTTTATGATCATTCTGGCTACAGTTGTTAAGTGAATCATTGTAGTTGTTAAGTTAGTAACACGGTTGTTAAGTCTGGCTTCCCCATTGACTTTGCTTATCAGAAGGTCACAAAAGCTGATCACATGAGCCCGGGACACTGCAACTGTCATAAATATGAGTTAGTTGCGAAGTGTTTGAATTTTGACCATTAGAATGCTGCGATGGTTATATGCATGAAAAATGGTGAAAGGTCATTTTTTTCAGTGCTGTTGTAACTTCAAATGGTCACTAAACGAAGTGTTTAAATCGAGGACTACCTGTAATCTCTGTAGTTAGCAGCTCACTTAATTGCAAGTAACTGAACAAGTATAAAAATTAAACATTAGTAAAACTGTCTGAATTCTGTTGAGATATTCATTATTGAAAGGATAAAATGCCTCCAGGCCACTACTTCATTATTAGTGCAGAGTCTGAAGACTTGTAATAAAATTACAGTAATACAGCAATTTAAAGCTTCTTTAAAAAGCAGAGTTATAGATAACTACAGTAATGTTCAGATTGTAAATGAGGTGCTGAGATAGGTGCTGGAAGAGGCCAGTTTTTAGTTAAACCTCTTACATTGCCCAAAATGTTTTCTTTCTTTTAATCTTTTGTTTCGGTAGACGTTTTTTACGAGAGACACTAAAAATGTCAAATGCAGAAGATCTAAACCGATTAACAGCATGCTCTCTTGTTCTTCTGGGTCACATCTTCTACGTGTTAGGGAATCACAGGGTAAGTCATAAAATCTTTGTCAGTGGTGTTGACTTTTTCTTTTGTCAATGAAATAAGAATGTGAAATTAATTTTAATGCAAAGTTTTGCCAATGTGCATATCAGTGGGCTGAAGGGTAGTGGTGAAAGTCATATGGTTAGCTGGAAAATTTGTGGCCTCTGTATTTGAATCTTCATATTGTGATTTATTTATTTGAAGCAATGTGGGGCAATCACATGCATATACATACCAAAAATCCAAAAGCTTTCTGAGAAAATACTTGTAGCTATACATCTTCCTGCTTTTCCCCCCTTATAAAATGTGAAAGATAGATAATTTCTGTATTTCTTTGCTGTACGCTAAATTATCCCACAAACACTGCCATTTATCGGCTTATTGCAAATAGTCAAATCAGTATTCCGGAAGAAGTGCGAAGTTGTAGTGAAAAATTAATTACAAATAATCCTCATTTAACGACCACAATTAAGACCAGCTACTCCATTACTAAGTCAAACATAGTCACTAAGAGAAATATCACATAATTGCAGCAAATTTACCTCAGTTCCATTGTGGCCATTAAGCAAATCCAATCAGGATTGGTCAACAGGCACCAGAAACTTAGTCTTCCAAGTTTTTAGAGTTGTGCTGGAGCCCATCTTCAGGGGCCAAAGACTGAGCCTCTGGTGCCTGCTGACCAAGCCAGATTGGATCCTGCAACATTATCCTGGGACGTGTATATTTGCCTTTATTCATTAAGCAAATCACCCATGGTGGTTAAGTGGGACATTGCATGATTTTGCGATGTTACTGCCAGCTCCTTCATTTACTTTGCTTGTTAGATGTAAGCTGTGAATGTATGGCACTTAACATAACTGCAGGGATGCTGCAGCCATTGTAAGTTTGAGGAGCAGTAACGAAGTTACTTTTTCAGCACCATTGTGACTTCACATGGTCACTAAACAGTGCAATTGTTAAGCAGGGAGTACCTGTAATGAGATTAATTTAACTTTTGTTGCCGTTGTTATCCCCATGCCTGGCCTGTAGGACTCGGGATGTTAGCCTTGCCTCTTTCGGCGAGACTTATGATTTTTGCTGCATCTTTGATTGTGGTGATGGTGACGAAGAACTAATGCAATCATAACTCAATAAGAGATTATTCCTCGTGTGCTGTCTTGTTTTCAGATTTTCTTTCAAACAGTAGACAAATGTTTGAAACAGACTCGATTGATTCAAATCAGGCAAACTTTTCTGAAAGAGGCTGTTTCTTACTCATTTATGTATTCAGATAAAACTTTATTGAAAGGAAAAATGCATTGTTTTACAGGGTGGGGGGGAGGGAAATGAAGGCAACTGTCTGCGTAGGACATTTTATTTTATTTTATTTAAAACATTTATGTAGTCACTCAACGTAAATGCAACTCTTGGCCTCTCCCAATCAAAAGTTAAAGCAACATATAAACTTTAAAACTAAATATATTAAAACATTAAAAATAACAAAAATCTGGTGCCAAGTCAAACTTCTAATGTGCAGGAATCTAATGCTATCCCAGGACTTGGGAGGGGGGGGGGAGCCAGGTCTTCCAACCTTTATGGAAGGCTAGGTAGGTAGAGTCAGGGGTCAAAATGTTTCATAGGGCAGGGGCTGCCACAGAAAAAGCATGCTTCCTAGCTCCCATCAAATTATTATTGTTATTTATTAAATTTGTTTGCTGCCCATCTCGCTGTAAGGCGATTCTGCCTTGGCAATATTTAGGGGAAGGGACTTGGAGCGTGCCCAGCATAGCTGACCTGGTGGGATGAGTAGATAAGGGCTTTTCAACCTTTTCACCCATTGTACCACTTTTAGGATATGGCAATATCCGAGTACCACCAGTCGCCTAGCAAGGTGTCAAAAACTTGATGACCCCCCCAAAAGGGAAAAAGTGATAAAGTACAGGTAGTCCTCGACTTACAACAGTTCGCTTAATGACTGTTCAAAGTTACAATGGCACTGAAAAAAGTGCCCCCCAAGCCACAGCCGAGCAAGACACCTGCCTGCCCACCCAGCGGCGCTCTTCCTCCTGTCCAAGGTTTTCATTGTTGTGAGCATTTCTGTTGAGGATTGGCAGCGGAGGTGGGGTGGGGGGTTGTTTGGTTTTTATTCCCCCCGTCTGCTGGGTGGTTGCAGCAGGTTTTGGTCACTTCACATGACCCTGGGACACTGTGATCATCATAAATATGAATCAGTTGCCAAGCATCTGAATGTAAATCACAAGAACTGGAGATGCTGCAACATTCCAGCTGATCGGCGCTTCTTCTGGGCTCAGCAGAAGCGCCAGGATCAGCGCCGAGCTCCAGCTGAAGCCTGGCGCTGATCCTGGCGCTTCCACTGAGCCCTAACAGCCCTGCAGCTCCAGCCCTCTCTCGCTCAGGCTTGTGCGGTGCTGCACCAGTTCAGCTCATTCCCTTCCCCCGCTACCACTTTTCTAGGATAGTCGCGTACCACCTCTAGGTGCCAATGTACCACAGGTGGTACCCGTACCACTGGTTGAAAAGCCCTGGAGTAGATGGCCTTGGGGAAAGGCGGTCCCACAGATAAACTAATGAGCTGTGGTAGCACAGTGGTTAGAATGCAGTATTGCAGGCTAACTCAGTGCTCACTGCCAGGAGTTTGATTCTCACTGGCTCGAGGTTGGCTCAGCCTTCCATCCTTCCGAGGTTGGTAAAATGAGGACCCAGATGGTTGGGGGAAATAGGCTGACTCTGTAAACTGCTTAGAGAGGGCTGTAAAGCACTGTGAAGCGGTATATAAGTCTAAGTGCTATTGCTATTTCTAACCTGGCCCTGTGCCATATAGGGCTTTAAAGGTAATAAACAACACCTTGAACTGCACCTGGAAAGAAACTGGAAGCCGGTGCAGCTCACGTAATGAAGGAGTTACATGGGCTTTATGTTTTGGAAATTTACTAAGTATATAATATGATTACCGAGAGGTTTGGCTGAATGGTGATAGATGGTGTCCTGCAAACCCGTGTTTGATTTGTATGTGGTTGTCCCAGTCAGTAAATTCAAGGAAACATAACCAAGTTCAATTGCCATCTTTGTATGATCAAGACCTTTTTATCTCTAGGAGAGTAACAACATGGTAGTCCCAGCCATGCAGCTGGCCAGCAAGATCCCTGACATGTCTGTGCAGCTATGGTCATCAGCCCTCCTGAGAGGTCAGTTAATGCAGTGGACCATAATTCAATGGCTGCGTTTGCACACTGTGATAAACTATTGTTTATTTAATGATGGGTTATTGAGTAAACCACAGGGATTTGGGTTGCACAACATGCTAAGACGTGAACCATAGTTTGCAAACCACATTGGCTAAATAGTCTTACATTAAGCCAGATCATTGATTTTGCTTGTCAGAAGCTGGCAGTGAAGATTGTAAATGGTGATCACATAATCACAGTGCCAATGAGCCAGTTGCCAAGTCCCAAGATCATGATCACATGACTGCGGGAACCCTGAAGACCAGTTGTAAGTACCACTCATTCAGCACCACCATAACTTTCCGTGGTCACTGAATAAGTGGTCTTTAAGCAAGGAGCACCTGTAGTTTGTTTTTCATTAAATATCATTTTTGCTTCATGCACTTACTCAGCATTCTCACCCGTGTCAACTTGGCTATTCAGAGTATTAATCATAACTTGCATTGCCATCTCAACGCAACCCAGGAGATAATCGCTTAGTATAAAAGTCTTTGATTGTGATGCTTGCACTTCTTTTTATCAGGTACATTTTAGAAAGTCATGAATTCTTTTTGAAGAAATTGAAAGTGTAGTGAATTAGTTAAATAAAAATCAATTTAGCTTCTAAAGTACTACTTCTTTCTTTTTAAAAAGCTATATATTGTCTTTTCTAATTCCTGAATGCTTTTAATCATATTTACTTATTATTAGAACCAGTTTGGTGTAGTGATGTTATATACCTGGTCTAGAAACCAGTAATGAGGTCTAAGTTTTCCTTACATGCTGTATGAAAGCTAACTGGGTGACTTAGGACCAGTCCCTCTCTCTCAGCCCATCCAAATTCACAAGGTTATTGTTGTGGGGAGCATTAGGTATGCTTGAGTTGACCCAATCACTACATTTTTAAAAGGCATGATAACAATATAATAATATTTATCATTAGTGTTATTTAATGCAAAGTACTGTTTGTGGGCAATTTGCTCCATAAAGAGGGAGGATGGGTTCCTCAAAGGTGTTGCAATCCTGTGTCTCTGTTTCTCTCTCCCTCCTTTCCAATGAAGACTTAAACAAAGCATGTGGGAATGCCATCGACGCCCATGAAGCAGCGCAAATGCATCAGAACTTTTCCCAGCAACTGCTCCAGGACCACATCGAGGCCTGTAGTCTCCCAGAGCACAACCTTATCACCGTACGTTAGCCACATTTTTTTTCTTTCTGGCCCTTGCTTTCTGTATGCCAGGGGCGGGGAATGATGGCCCTTTTATGACTTGTGGACTTCAACTCCCAGAATTCCTGAGCCAGCATAAGTCATAAAGGGGTCATCGTTCCTCACCCTTGCCGTATGCCAACCTGAGTGGGTGCCGTGGGGAAGCGGGTGGGAAAAGCAAAAGATTACAGGAGAAAGATCCTCTGTTTCTTAGCTGCTCAAGTTTAATATGGTAGGTTGTCCTTGACTTATGACCGGCCGCTTAGCAATCGTTCAGAGTTATGACAGACTTCTACTATTGCCTGTTTCCGAAGTTCCAGGGGCTGCCCTCCACCCACAGTTAAGTAACTGCACTTCGGCCACTCAACAGTTGACCCTCATTTATATCCATTTATAGCATCTCATAGTCATGTGACCAGGCTTTACAGCATTTTTGCTGAAATCCAACATTTATTTCTGATTTTCGGCAAAATCGGATTATATCAAACCATTATGTCACTTAACAACTAACAATTGCCATGAGAAAGGTCATAAAATTGAGTCAGTCACATGGACGACCCATTTGATGATTACCACACCTTATGGCCGTGATGGGCAGACTCCATTACAATCATAACTCGGGGATTAATTGTTTTGAAACCTGTAGATTAGATTAGGTTAGGTTAGGTTAGATTAGATTAGATTAGATTAGATTAGATTAACATTTATTGTCATTTTTTCCTGTGGGCACAATGGCACACATTAAAAATGTGTGCTTGCTCTCAAGTGTACACATACATAACACACATTTAAACATACTATATACAACATATGTATAGACCTACATCCTTACATATAAGTAACATATAAATATTAATCCTATAAAAATTAAGGTGGGACATTGTGAGCATTCTTTTCCCGATTTTTCCTCTGGCCTCGTTTTAGGACAGCAGTAGGCTTAAAGAATACAGAAAGTAGTGGGTGGACTATAGTTAAAACAGCACATTTTTGGTCTTTGGATGGAAATCAGTGCCTCCTGGGATTTTGTTGTTGTTGTTGTTGTTGTTAAAAAAACAAGCCAAAGCCAAAGTGTGATTAATTGAAAGCTCTCGACTACAGGCTTATTTAACAACATTTATCTGCTATCCTCCAAAAACTATTCCAACTGGGCAGACCCATATAAAAAAATGAGCAAATACTATAATGAAATCCAGTTTTATAATAATTGTAACAGTCAGTTAATATATAGCTCACAACAGCAAAATGTTGCAAAGTTCTAAAATTCACAAAATGTGAATGTTTTAGGAGTAGTTGGGGGGAAGCTTAAAAAATCACAGAATTTTATTATTTTGGAATTCTGGTTCATGGTTTTTGAGGAGTGTTGACTGAAATCTCTGCCCTACAGTTGAAAGGTAGTACACAAATTGAGTAAATAAGAGACCTTAATCTCCTTTGGATTTATTAAGCAGCTGAGTAGGGTAGGGTAGTAGCAGAGTAAAGTAGGTTCGAGCAGCCTGGTCACCTAGGTATCTATGCTGTTTGGAAGCTGCCCAAAGTTGCTTGTTAGTGAGACGGATGACATATAAATGTATAAGTAAATAAGTAAATCTAACCTTGTTCAGTAGAAGATATTTGTAGTTTAGGGTTTAACTGAACTTTATGCTTTCTGTGCGTAGTTGTTTGATTGCAGTCATTATCCAACTAGGAAACATCATCATTTATATACAAATGATTTGCCCTTTCAGTGTTGATGGGAGTGTTCCTGATGGTTTCTTGATTGGGGTATTGTTTATTGTTTGATTATTGATCTGGTATTAATCTGGGTGTTAATCTCTGCTTATCTGGTCAGTCCTAGCAAGCACAGCAGTGAGAAATCATGGAAATTGCAGTCATTTTCATGTTGCCCTGTGCTGCTTCAAAGCTGTGCGCAAATATTTCTGTGATATAAATTGTTTAAAACTTGACATTTGTTTTAAAAGCAAGGTGACATTATCAGCTGAATCACCACACACCAGTCAATAAATACCATCTACTTCTTTGTTTTTTTTCCTGCCTGCAGTGGACAGATGGGCCCCCACCAGTACAGTTCCAGGCACAAAATGGACCTACCACCAGCCTGGCCAGTCTATTGTGAACCTACTATCTTCACTTGGGAAGAAGATGGAAATCATTTTGTACACTCAGCTTTTTTTTTTAACAAAAAAAGATGGGCAGCGAACACTTCTCCAAGCCCTCTAGGAGATGGCATTGAGGTTACCTTTCTTAGACCCACAATTTGGCATGGCCTTTCTGAGCTCTTTTTTAAGATTGGTGTGTGTGTGTGTGTGTGTGTGTGTGTGTGTGAGAGAGAGAGAGACCTAGGTCGCAGGGATGTCTATGTAAGTAAACACACAGGGTTGTTAAGAGGCAGCCCTTCCTATTTCTCAGAATTTGGATTTGTATGACGTGGATAAAACAAGGGCCCCTTCAAATAAGATTTATTTAAAAGAGAAAGAATAAAAGAAATCAACCCATATAATAAAGGTATAGGGAGGTTGGGATGGAAGAGAGAAAGCCAGGCCTGCTTCCTTGCTAATTAAAACTGCCCCTGAAAATGCCATGTGCCTATATTTTTATGAAGGCTCTATTGCCCTGGCATAGCTGGCCGGAGAATTCTGGGAATTGAAGTCCACACATCATAAAATTACTAAGGTTGGCAAACATTGCCCCATTTGCTTGCTGTATGGAAAGAACACAGCAAATTGGCTACGTAAACTTTTTGAGGTGTTACCTTCCTTACGTCACTTTAGGGAACTTGGGCTCTGCATTCTTCAGGATTATGAGAATTCATATTGGAGCAAAGCTTATGCTAATCAGCCTCTGTCAGTGTTTAAAGTGCCTGTTCGGACGCGTAAAAGGTGCATGTTTTTTCTCCAGGGTAATCCTTTGGTTTTTCCTCAAGACATATTGTCTGTTTGGGTAAAATCATGATTTTTCATTTTTTTCCCCCTTTTTGGGAAGGCGACTTCACCGCTCTCTTCAATTCTTGAGTCATGAAGGTCTTTGGAAATGAGGACAAATGGCAGCTTAGAAAAACAGCCGGCCTTATGTGGATTTATGTGATTTCTTTGAGATAGGCTACATTCTGGTCTTCCAAGACTCTTAATTAGAATGTAGAGAGTTGTATCAAATGCAGAATTCAGCTTCTGAGAATCTCGGCATTCAAGATCTTTTAATGAGAAAGCTTTTAGCCCCAATACAGGGGTAGGCAACTTTGGTTCTTTTATGACTCGTGGACTTCAACTCCCAGAATTCCTGAGCCAGCCATGCTGAGGGAAAAGGGAGAGGTTTCCAAGCTGAGCCATGCTGGCTCAGGAATTCTGGGAGTTGAAGTCCACGAGTCATAAAAGAGCCAAAGTGCCTACCCCTGTGGCCTTGTAGCTGCAAAGATACACTTGAAAGGATATGGGACATAACTTCCCACATCACGGACTCAAAATGGGAAGCTTAAACAAGTTTTCCAATTGTTGGGGTAGAAATTCTGCGCCCTTAGCCTTCCCGTGGCTAGCAAAATGATCATGTATTATGCAAAGTACCTAATTTGGAATGATTATGCAAAACAATTATGCAAATGACTGCATAAATCATGTTACACTAGAATCCAGCTTTTCCAACTACTTTTTTTTTATTACTTTATTTTAAGGCAGGGACGCAACCCTGCTTCTAGTGTGGTGTGTGGCGTGTGAGTTTTAAAAGGAAATAGTTTTATCTTGTTACTAGTTTCAGTGAGTTCTTATGGATTTTTTTAGCACTATTTATCATCCAGAAGCTATAACCAATATCCCCTTAATCATGTGCTCTTGCTACTTTCAAGAACAATGCAACCCAGTTCGTTTCTGATCTAGGTTGATGTGTAAAAAGAAAAGTTGTTTGTAATGTACTGGGAGAGAAATAGGGGAAGGAAAGTACAGGATAAGTAGTAACTAAAAGAATTGAAAGAGGAGGAGATGGTATTCTTAAACTTTAATTTTGTCTACTATTTGGAATGTAGGTCTGTTTATAGCATTCCTTAACAGATCCTGGCAAAAGGCAGTTCCCACCCCTCTTTTTCCTTTTCCTTCAGAGAATATTAACAAATGCTTGTTATTTCATGTCAGCACAGACTTAACATTTACTTACTCCTGAAGAAATACATTGTGTGTGATTTGGATCTTAAAAAAAAACCTGCAAGGGCCCCTCTCACATCTATTTAGGGTTTTAAAAAAACCCTCTGGAGTGCCAAAAATGTAGGGTTGGGGTTGGTAGGGAAGGTGTCGAGAAGCAGTTAGATCTGTACAATTATTTACCCTTTTGGACGAGCTGATTCTCCCAATTTTCCCACTGCATCTTTAAACTAGATATAAATAAATCTTGAGTCGGAAGGCTAGAAGCTTAATTTTTTTTTTTTTTGACAAATCTTGGATGAAAATGGGTTTATTCCTCCAGTCCGTAATTCAGGGATGTCTGTTGTCCATATTCCTAGGCTCGCTTCTCTATGTATAGTTGAGGGACAAAAAGCTATATATTTTCCAATTAACAGGTTTTTTTTTTTCCCCTCTTCCTAAGCAGTGTTCAGCCTCCAGAAAAGAAATCCTAGTGCATATGCAATCAAGGTTCGTATTTAGAAAAGACTCTCTTTCCTATATAAAACCAAAAAATAAAAAATATTTCTTACTGTAAAGATGCAAGACGCGCATCCTTACAAACTAACCTGGACAGACCTAAGAGGCCCGATAGATTAAATCTAGCTTTCAGGATGCTAGCAGGCTGTCCTTGTTCAAATACACATACCTCATTTCCTTCTCAGCCCCTTCCCAAAGAATATACCCCTGGATATACGCTGTCCCATCATCTTAGAAATCTGCATTTTGGCTCATAGAGGGTGGGCAATTAGATCACTGAACTTGTGATTTTGCACAGTTGAAATGTGGAGTCTGCCAACGCGTGTGTGAGTTCTTGCTGTTCACACTTCTGAAACACCTGCAGCTGTTAATTAACACTCTTTATGAAACAGTTCTTTTTATGTACTTAAAATGTGTTTTAGTAAATTTGTACAGTTTTGTCTTTTAGCCTTTTTTCCAAAAAGTGTTTAATCTTTCTTAATAATATGTAAACATAAAAAAAATGTACAGGGGGAGTACAGTTTTTGTCTTGTGTTTCAGGCTAAATTTTCTTCCTAATGCCGGGTGAGAAAATCTCTGTGGGAAGCGTATTTTTAATTCTACACAGAGTTGTATATCGGCCATTAAAGGCAAGAGCTATGGAAAACTTCATATTTAAAATATTTTTACAATGTGGTTGTGCAGGTATGCAAAAGAGGAGAAAGAAAGAAAAATGTACTCCCAATTAGAATAGATCTAAAATGCTAATCTTGTGCCCATAGTTTGCTTTGGGGTTTCCCCCCCCCATCACTTGGCCTGATCAGCACTTGCTTACATACTTTTTGTGATATTTTAGTGGTTGAAAAAAAAGTATTGCCAAATTGTGCAGGGGAGGGGGAAAATAAAATAGCCCCAGGATGCCATCATTACTTCTTTGAATCTAATGATATAAACGTGACAGCAGGTAAAAAAAAAAATCCGAAGCAAGTAGAGGTAGTCCTCGACTTACGGCCACAGCTGAACCCAAAATTTCTGTTGCTAAGTGAAACATTTGTTGCTTTTTATGACCTTTCTTGCCAGAGTTGTTAAGTGAATCAAAAGTTAATAACATAGTTGTTAAGTGAATCTGGCTTCACTCTCGACGTTGCTTGTCACAAGGTCACAAAAGGTGATCACATGACCCCGGGACACTGCAACCGTCATAAACATGAGTCAGTTGCCAATCATCTGAATTTAGATCACGTGACCAGGGAAATGCTGCAAACGTCATCAAGTGTGAAAAATGGTCATAGGTCAGTGATGGCGAACCTTTTAGAGACCGAGTGCCCAAAAACTGGCCCCGCCCCACTCCACCCCCTGCGCCACCCCCACCCCACCTGCCCGCAGGGCCACTCACCCCCACCAGGGCCTGCCACAGATCGCCCAGGCAGCCCAGCAGCGCCATGGCGGCCACGCCCTTTCCCCGCACCCTGCAGCATCAACTGCGCGATGGGGCGTGAGGGCAGAGTCTTGTCTACGCTGCCTGGCTGCCATGTCCTTGGCTGCGCTGCTCCGCGTGGGCCACACTTGTGGGAGCGACTCTCCTCCAGGGGGGCTGCTGGTGAGGGGGTCGCGGGGGGAGGCAAGGCTGGGGCAGTGGCATGAGTGCCCACTGAGAGGGCTCTGAGTGCTGCCTCTGGCACCAGTGCCATAGGTTCGCCACCACTGTCATAGGTCACTTTTTTCAGTGCATTGTAACTTTGGTCACTAAGTGGACTATTGTAAGTCAAAGACTACCTGTACCATCCTTGGGAAAAAATCTAGTTTGGGGTTTAAGACTTGTGGACTTCAGCTGCAAGAATTCCTCAGCCAGCATGGCTGGTTGGCTGAGGAATCCTTGGAGTTGAAGTCCATGGGTCTTAAAGTTGCCGAGGTTGGACATCCCTGATCTAGATCTTAATAAGTCTGAAAAAGTACTGCTTGTTTGGACAGTCTGTATTATATCATGTGACAGCTTGCAGTGGGAGATGACTTTGATTGGGCTTACCTAACCTTGTACTTCCAGATGTGCAACTTCCATTATCTCATGCCAGCACATGTCCAAGTGGAGCCAATCCACTCTTTCGCCCTCTAAATTATTAACATGATGGGTTTCATTACATGGGTAAAAATAGTCCTCAATTTATAACCGTAATTTAGCCTGCAATTACGATTGCAAATCTTGCTTGGCACATGACTGACCCAATTTTACATGTTTTTGCTGTAGTTCTTAAGGAAACACTACAGTCATTAGGGGAATGCCACAGTCATTAAACAAATCTATTGTTTGCAATGGGTGTTTGCTGGAAACTGAAAGTAAACACTGGATTCCAGGGGGGAATCATAAATTGCAGTCATGTGACTTTGGCATGCTGCAGGCAGCTGTAAATGTGGACTGGTTGCCAAATGCCCAAAACTGTGGAGGGCAGAAGTCAGAAATTCAAATCTAGGTCACATGTACCTTTTGGGGGATCCTTCATAAATTCAAACTGTTACTAAACAACCGGTCATTAAGTGTGGCCCACCTGTAGTGGTTACTATGTCCGAAAGGAGAACTAGTTTTATTTCCTCAAATAATTTCCCTTTATGGGTCAATTTAAATTGCCTGAGAATACAATAATAGGATTTTTTGGCTTTTGTTATCCAATCTTTTATGGAGAAGAGCGGCAGCTTTTCAGATGAGTAAGTTATGTTTTCCTTAAAATGTATATGGAGATTCTCAATCATCCAGAGCATGGTTGTTTCACTGATGAGAAACAAAATGTCTTCAAGCAAAAACAAAAGTCCAGTTGCCTTTTGAAAAAGCATCTTTGGATTTTCCTTAAAATCTTATTTCCACATTCAGTTGGGAACTTAAAGGATGCAAGATGCACAAGGAACTTGTGACTTTGGGCTTCTCTCTCCATTCTTGTTGCTGCTTTGTCTCCATAAGAATTCACCAACCACTGCAATGTTGATAAACTCAATTTTTTTTTTTTTTTTGTAAAATGATGGTCAGCTGCCTGCTCATTTTCCAGAAATGCATGGAGAAGTTGGGTACTTTCATCCGAGTGTAATTTTGTAGTAACCATGGCGCAAAGCCATAGTGGTTTAATCCCTTTTTATGACCAAACACCTCTTACCACAATTCAGTAGGAAGGTCCTTTACTTCAAATTCTCATCAGTTTCTTTGGATTTTGAGAGAATATGATTTTAGTAATGATAGAAGTTATTATTTTTGCATACTGCTGGTATTGCATGCTTCCTGGTAAGCCAACTATCCTCAGCACATGATATCTCACAATCCCAGCATGATGAAATGAGTTTAGAACCCCCCCCCCATTATGTCACTTTAACACTTCAATTTAAGATAATAATAATAATAATAATAATAATAATAATAATAATAATAATAATAATGACTCAATAGGTAGACAAAATGCCAAATCCAGTCTGAACATCTGGCTGACTGTGCGATGATCCATAATAATAATAATAATAATGATGATGATGTTGGAAGGGACCTTGGTGGTCATCTAGTCCAACCCCCTGCTCAAGCAGGAAACCCTATACCATTTCGGACAAATGGCTGTCCAGTCTTTTCTTAAAAATTTCCAGTGCTGGAGCATTCACCACTTCCGGAGGCAGGTTGTTCCACTGATTAATTGTTCTCACTGTCAGGAAGTTTCTCCTTAGTTCTAGGTTGCTTCTCTCCTTGATTAGTTTCCATCCATTGCTTCTTGTCCTGCCCTCAGGCGCCTTGGAGAATAGCTTGACTCCCTCTTTTTTGTGGCAGCCCCTGAGATATTGGAACACTGCTATCATGTCACCCCTCGTCCTTCTCTTTGTTAAACTAGACATACCCAATTCCAGCAACCATTCCTTATATGCTTTAGCCTCCAGTTCCCTAATCATCTTTGTTGCTCTTCTCTGTACTCTTTCTAGAGTCTCAACATCTTTTTTACATTGTGGTGACCAAAACTGGATGCAGTATTCCAAGTGTGGCCTTGGAATTGTACTAAGGCATTGTAAAGTGTTATAAACACTTCACATGATCTTGATTCTATCCCTCTGTTAATGCCGCCCAGCACTGTGTTGGCTTTTTTGGCAGCTGCAGCACACTGCTGGCTCATATTTAAGTGATTGTCCACTAGGACTAGATCCCTCTCACAGTTACTACTATTGAGCAAAGTACCCCCTATACTATACCTGTACATTTGGTTTTTCTTGCCTAAATGTAGAACTTTACTTTTTTCACTATTGAATTTCATTTTGTTAGATAGCGCCCAGTGTTCAAGTCTGTCCAGGTCCGCCTGTATCTTAAGCCTGTCTTCTGGAGTGTTGGCTATTCCTGCCAGCTTGGTGTCATCTGCAAATTTGATGAGTTCCCCATCTATCCCCTCGCCCAAATCGTTGATGAAGATGTTGAAGAGCACTGGGCCTAGAACAGAGCCCTGGGGCATCCCACTGCACACTTCCCTCTATGTAGATACGATTCCATTGAGGACACACACTGAGTGCAGCCGATCAGCCAGCTATGAATCCATCTGATGGCGATGCTGTCTAACCCACATTTTTCTATCTTATCAAGTAGTAGGTTGTGATCTACTTTATCAAATGCCTTACTGAAGTCCAAGTAAATTATATCCACAGCATTCATCTGATACACTAATACTGGAGGGAATTATATTCCCCCCATTTGAAAAGTTTATTTGGGGGTTCTTTTTATTATAATTTAAGGTCGAAGATAATTTAGGACCATCTACAGTAGTTTTAATGGAAATGAATGACAAGGTAAAGAGTGGGGGGAGATGGAATAAAGTATGAATTCGGATTATAGTAATCCGTGACGACGCTCTGATCGTTCATATCCCGCCCCTATTCTTTCATTGGCTTGTCGTCATCGTCCGGAACTTTTCATTGGCGGAATAACTTTGGTCGTCAACCAAAATTGGCGAATCAAAGTGAAGTCAACTCAAGCGGGCGTTGCTTGTACTGGGCGCGAGGAAATGGAGGCGCTCGATTGCGGAGGCGGCGCGAGAAAGGAGAGGATGGGCGTGGCCCAGGAAAGGGCGAACTCTGAGGCAGAGGGCGTGGCTTGATCGGCGGAAGGCTGACGTAGGCGGAGCGTTTAGGAGGGAACAGGCGTTTTGACGGACGGAGCGCCCTCGAGAGACGTGAGGGGAGGCGTCTGGCACAATCACAGCGGAGGAAGGGGCGTGGCACCAAAGAGGGCAGCGAGCCTCTGAAGAGGTGTGGCTTCAAAATGGGAGCGCGGAAGACGATGACGAGGAGGAGGAAGAGGAGGATGAAGAAGACGAAAAAGAAGAAAGAGGTGCCGGCGGTCCGCGCGTGCGCAGATGTTGGCAGTCAACGAAGGGAAGCGCCTGAGGAGACCGCCGAAGGGGGGGCGGGGCGTCGCTCGGCGCGAGACAAAGTTGCTCGCCCGCCTTTTTCCTCCGTCTTGAACGCTCCCCTTCTCGAGGCCTGTCCTCGCGCGTGCGTACTCCACTCGTGACCCCTCCCCTACAAGGCATCC